GATCACATGCCCAGGGACAGTGCAACCATCATAAATACACGTCAATTACAAAGCACTCCAATTTTGATCATGTAACCACAGAGTTGCTGCACGGTCGTAAGTGTAAAAAATAGTTGTAAGTCATTGTTTTCAGTTCCATTGTAACTTCAAACAATCATTAAATGAATGGCTTTAAATCAAGGACTACCTATACTTTGAAATGGTGAATCTGATCCTAATAATGATATGAATTCATCAAAAACAGATGTTTTACATTCAGTTTAGCCAAACTGATGGGCAGATTATTTTGCAAGTTGTGTAGCTATTGCATCCTCTGTTAAGACTCATTTTCATCTACTTGATTTGCTAAAGATCACAGCTTGATCTGATAGAGAGAATAGAGCTTGAAATCATAACATGTATGGTACATAATGGTTATGTTAGCACCTTGCCCTGTTCATTTTCCATATTATTTTAATTAATACGTAAATATTCCTATGCATATTCCTCTTCCTTGCCTTGAATAAAAACAATAGCGTGCATAAAATACTATTGCACTGAGATACCAACTTGATTAATTTTCCTATTAATACCTTACAAAATATGTTCCATTGAGTGTGTAATGGAATTTATTTCTAAAAAAGCATACTCAGAATTAACAGATGAATACTTCCAATAAATCACATTTATGCTTAATATACCATAATTTTGGAGCATCCTTACACAAATGTTGAAACAGGTTCTTAAATAGAAACTATTAATAACACTTGTGTAATTAGTAAAGATAATTCATATTTTCACCCTGTAATATTAGACGTTATATTCTATATATACTGAGTCACATCCCTTAAGCAAGGAACCTGATAGAACCCACAAAAGGAACAATTCTCTATCACAGCACTGACCTAACAAAACAACAGCCTTCCACCTCCAGAGATTCGAACAGCCCTAATGCCATTTTCCTCACTGCTCAACAGCAAAGGCTCTCAACCTTTTTTTTTTATATATATTCAGGGCATCCTTTAAGCCTCATTTCTCTTTGTAATACCTCTCAGCGTCGCTGTTAGCTGGAAAAAAATGTTCTTTTCTATTCAAACCATTTTTTTTCTTCTGTTCAACTATGTCTTATTCTAGCAATTTTCTTGGCAAGGTTTTTTTTTAAAGAAATAGTTTGCCATTGCCTCCTTCCTAGAAATGAGAGAAAGTGACTAGCCCACAGTTACTCAGCTAGCCATCTGCCTAAGGCAGGACTAGAACTTAGTGTCTCCCAGTTTCTTGCCTGATGCCTTAGCTACTAAACCAAGCTAGCTCTCTTACTAATTTCAGTTGTGTTGTATAAAAGCAAAGTATTTTTAGCAACTAACAAAAATGATCAATTCTATGCAGACAATGAATCAGCACTGAGAACAAGATGTGAAGATTATGACACAAAGATCATATGCCTGGCAATTAAGTTTGGGTTGCTCTCTCAAAAACTTACTGACACCCCTAGAAATGTAACAAGGACCCTGGAAGGCTATATAGTCCATGATGAGAACCATTGCTCTATACTTTTGTTTTCCATTCTATACTCTCCCAAAGTTATTGGCAAGTTGAAATATAAATAAAAAGGAAGTAAATAACTATCCAAAGCAATTTTGTTACAGGTACTATATTAGCATTTATTTTACCTGCTTTCCAAATATTTGCTCATATTTGTTTTCTGTATCTTTAGTGAAGCATTCACCCAGCACAAACAATATCTTTACCATAACTGAGTTACCAAATAATAAGCCAGCACAAACAATATCTTTACCATAACTGAGTTACCAAATAATAACCAGCAGTATAAGACTGGAAACATATTTGTGTGTCCAATATTAAGTAAATATATATCAATTTACAGAAGATGTTTATAGGTATCCCTTAAATACCAGAGACTCTAAGCAAAAAAGGGCCTTCAATGGAACAACCTGGGTTTGCCCAGCTGGTAAGTAAGTATGCACTTCCCAATTCTAGAATAGATTAGAATAGAATAGAGCTGGAAGGGACCTTGGAGGTCTTCTAGTCCAGCCCCCTGCTCAAGCAGGAGAACCTATACCATTTCAGACAAGTGAATGTCTAGTCTCTTCTTAAAAACCTCCAGTGATGGAGCGCAAACGATTTCTGGGGGCAAGCTGTTCCACTGGTTAATTGTCCTCACTGTCAGGAAGTTTCTTCTTAATTCCAGGTTGCTTCTCTCTTTGATCAGTTTCCAACCATTGCTTCTTGTTCTGCCCTCTGGTGCTTTAGAGAATAGTTTGATGCCCTCTTCTTTGTGGCAGCCCCTCAAATACTTGAATACTACTATCATGTCACCCCTATTTCTTCTTTTCTTTAGACACTAGACAAACCCAAGTCCTGCAGCCGTTCTTCATATGTTTTAGTCTCCAGTCTAATATTTTCTTCACAATTGCTGCTATTACGAGTCCTCACTTCCAATGTGACCAACCACTGTCGGCAACGCAACACTCCAACAAACTCTTTCCCGTAAGTTACCTGTTTACATTTCCTCTCCTAAAGTTATCCGACAAAGCAATTCCTGATACCCATCCACCCCCCCAAAAAATCCAGCACAGAAGTCAGACGAAAGCCCCCGGGAGCAGTTAGGGCCCCCCCTAAACATAACCGCACCGATGCCAACGCAGGTCAAGAGGGGAAAGAGGGACGGCGGGGAAAGGTGAGGCACCTACCTCTCCCACTCGGAGGCGGTGGTGAAATCCGTGATCTCGAACACTTCGGACTCCGGCTGTGGAAAACGAAAAGAAGAAAGCAGCAAGTGAGGCACCAACCGGGAAAAGAAGAGCGCTGACCCAGCAGCACCACTTTCCCGCTAGCCCGAAAGGAGAAAGGAGGGGGGGGGGTATTTCAACCGGTGAACCAACCTCACTGTCGGCCGCCATCTTGAGAAGCAGCGTCCCGAAGGGCATGATGGGAGGGGGACAAGACGGCGCGCGGCGCGGCGCTGCATGTGGCAAAGCCGCGCGGGGAAGTGGTGGAGGGGGCGGAGGGAAAGAAGCTCTCCGCGGAGGCCGGAGAGCTTGAGGGGATTTTTCTTCCTTCTTTTGTTGCTGGGTCGCGAGTGTAGAGTGGGGTGTTGTCTGTTTAACCTTGGGATGAGGAAGGCCTGTGGAAATAGTCCCGGGCAGGCCGTTTTGTGTTGTCGGGAAAACTGCAGGAATGTAATCAGGGAGTCACGCTCCATTCACAGATGCCCTAATGTTAGTTCATTGTTGCAAACGTGAGGGGGAACTGAGAGACAAAAGAATGAAAGTGTTCCAGCTATACGGCACAACCTTCTGGGGATTTAAGGCAGGGTGCATTGTTTCCTCTTCGCCTCACGAAATACTGTGGCTGGCTTTTAAGTCATTCTGGGAATTTCTGTGGGGAAGGAGAGATGGACCCCGATGCTGAGGCAATAAGAGACTAGGCTCTGGGGCATCTGTTTTTCTCTGTGCCACCTCAGTACTTAAGTGTTCTTTAATCATACACAAATTAAATGCGTAACTGCCGGCCCGCGGGCCGGATGCGTCACGCCAAACCCGCACCAACCCCATTGCTGGCAATGGGAAAAAAAAACTCGTAAAACGTTGGGACACGTCATGTGATGTTGTGAGTTTGACACCCGTGGTGTAAAGATAGGTTTCCTTTTAAGGTTTGTTGTAATTATTTCTGAGCAACCGGTGATAAATAAACCCCTATGCTTTGTCTCCTTCCTGCCCCGTCTCCCATATACGCACAGAGAGAGAGAGAGAGGCACGCGGATCCACAGTGCGCCCCACACACGCCGGCTACATTTATCTGCGTATGGAAATCTGTAAATAGATAAATAAGATGTAGTCCTCGTTTGAGTTGGCCAATCCAGGTCTTGAATGACAAAATCAGCCAGTCTGGAACTTTTAACATTTTGAAGAGGATTCTGACTAATCAGATGCAGTTAAAACAGAAGTTAACAGTAGAATTAAAGTGATTAAATATAAGGTGACCAACCGTCCTTCTTTAGGGAGGACAGTCTTCCTTTTGTAAGTTCTGTCCTCTCTCAAAAAGTGTCCTCCGACATGTCCTTCTTTTCGATATTTGAAGACTAATCTGTAAATCTCCGTATTCTATCGATGCCGATCCGATCCGTTGCATGTGATGTGACATATTTGTATTTGACATGATGATTCGTCAAGGCTCAGTACAGTGCGGCAAGGTGCAATTAGGAGATGCATGCACTCTGCACAGGAGAATTGTTTTGAGAGAGTGCACCGCGTGCAAGAGTGCGTCGCACGCAATTGGCTTTGTTTACTTCTTACTGAAACATGACATGGCACGCACGCACGCATTAGACTCACTTTTTTTTCTTCAATTTATTTGTGTCCTCCTCATTGTAAAAAAGTTGGTCACCTTATTAAATATTCACCAAAAATAAATATCATAGGAGTGAGAGCTAAGATCTTGGTGATGTCAGTAAGCATTACTTAAACCTAGACCAGTGAGGGCAAACCTTTTAGACACTGAGTGCCTAAAAAACCACTCTGCCCCCCCCCCCCACTGCTCTAATCCCTGCCTGCCCCTGCTCTGCTGCCTGCTCTGCCTGCAGGGCCACCTACCGTCTCCATGGCCCATCAGAGCAGATTGCCGAGGCAGTTCTGCAGCGCCATGGCAGCCATGCCCTCCATCCGCACCCCACAGCATCGCACGACGGGGCACGAGGGCGGAGTCCCCTCTGCCCAGCTGCCATGTCCTTGGCTGTGCTGCTCTGCGCAGGCCGTGCCCAAGGGCGACTCTCTGGGGGAGCTGCTGATGGGGCCATGGGAGAAGGCAGGACTGGGGCGATGGCACATGTGCCCACAGAGAGGGCTCTGCATGCCGCCTCTGGCATGCATAGCATAGGTTCGCCACCACGGACCTAGACTGTAGAGATCATAGAGTAAACAGCCAAGGTTCTGAATGATAAAACCTAGAGAAACAAAAAAGGGAGAAGAACACTACATGTTCAACTCATCTCTGTTGAAGTGGTAAAGTGTCTGAGGTTGTATTTTTTCAAATTTCAAAGATTGAGGCTACAAGGTTGCTGATATTCAATCAGCAAACATGTCTTACAAATAATTTAAGAGATTTTTGTAAATAAAATAATTCCTTTTTATCAGCTTTTCCAGAAAACATTCATCTTCTTCTCATGGCTGCCGAAAGAATAAATGAGATAGTGCATTTTATGTGTGGTGTATATTCTTAGAATTTTGCTGCAAACCCAAGCTTGTTAGATTGCTTAATCTAAGATCTAGATTTCTCATTTGCTTTCTCAGCCCAGCTAAGCCTCTTTGATCAGTCATTCACTGTATAAAATACCCAAAAGACAGTTACCTTGGTGACAGCTTGTAAACTAAACAGCCAGAACCTAGCTCTCAATATCAGAAGGATTTGTGTTGGAGCTCTATAATCATGTTTCTTCCTTTCTTGAAAGTCTGTGTTGGCATCAAATTGAAGGTAAGAATTTCAGTAGAACATCTTTATTTTTCTTCCCAGTAAATAAAATTCAACAGATTGCATATCATGTGTGAGCAAAAAAGCTGCTTTAATATAAAGTTTACTTTGATTCTGCAACTGCCTTGAACTACAGTACTTGAACTACAGTACATAGTGGCAATCATCCATTGTATTTGTGATACAACAGATCTAAAGATTCTGCTAGAGTGATGTTTATTGGTTTTGTTATTAATACCTATAACTATATTGATTGGTGATGTTAGTAAACTTGTAAGTAAGTGGAATTTGGAATATTTTGATCTTCCTTGCTAGATGAAAATTTGCATTGGACTGCTTCTCAATCGGTAGGGCGAGTTATAATTATGAAATATACTTTCTACTATTCCCACCTATTACTCAAATATGGATGTGGTAAATAGCATAAAAGAGACAAACAGCATCTTGAGATAAGTGAGCTGCCAGGTTTGCCACTGAAATCTTTTTTATAAAATCTCAGCTGATATATAAAATATAAAGGGAAAGCTCTGTTGTTTGGAAGCCCATTGTGCTCATTCTTTTGTATCTCCATTTTTTATTTATTTTTAGCCAACCTTTATTATTTTTATACATAACTTGGGGGGAAAAACATACCTAATACTCTTTCCTCTTCCTATTTTCCCCGAAACAACAATCCTGTGAGGTGGGTTAGACTGAGAGTGAATGAATGGCCTAAAATCACCCAACTAGCTCACAACTCCCAGAATGCCACTGTCCGTGCTTTTTGGGAATTCTACAAATTGTACTCTTGGCCTCTATTTACAGAATATTTTTGTGTCCTAATAAACCTTTGGATTCCATTCTGCTTTTACTTAGCTTTTAAGTGATTTAAACTAAAACAATGAATGTGCTACATATACCAATTTTGTACCTTTTTGTTCCACTAAGCCTGGGTTTTGTACATTTTAAGCATGGAATGGCTTCTGGCTGATAAAAGGATGCTTTAATTGTGGGTTGTTGTTCTTTCTATTGTAACTTTTAAAAAGTAAACTAAATGCTACTTTTATTAAGTATCACATTTAATTCATGTAGGAGGTTTCTAGGTAAAACATTAATAACAGTATTCTATAAATTATTTTCTGCAACTTACAGAAACTTTTTGACAACCTATCAAAGCAATATACAGCAACTTCCTCCAGTGAGAAAGAACACTAAGAAAGATAATAATGCTAACAATCTTTCACATATTCTGAATTCTCATTCACCATTCAGGAAAATTGACCTCCAGGCAGATGGTCAGTGGCAGGGATACCTTAAGCAGTCTGATTATCACATCCTCAGTAATACATCTGGAAGCTTCCCTGTGCGGTTGGGATATTCATATCCATTACTCAGAAGAACATTGCATAGTCTATGGCTACTCCGAAGCCCAAGAAATTGAACTCCAGTTGAAATGCAACAGACCTAAGGCATATATCAAAAATCTACCAATTGTGCAACCCATAAAGTACTAGTGATCTCTGAGAATATAGATAATATAAACAGCAGTTGTGATTTCGATTGTTCTGATAGTTGTCTCAACCCAAGTGAAATATTTCCTGAAGCAAAAGAATCAGAATGTTAATCTTTCAAGACATAAAGATATTTTTAAGTCTTAATGGTGCGGGAAAAAGATTTAAGAAGTAAGAGTGTCCCTAAATTAGATTAAGCAAAGCAGAATCATCAGAGGTGAAAACATCACAAGAAAAGTGTAAAAAAGGCTGCATTTGGAAGTGCTGCTGTGCAGAACAAAACTATCAAAGATCATATTTTAATGATTTAATACCTTAGTAGGTTTTGAATCATCTGATGCTCCTGTTTGCCAATCAGATGGTTTGAATAGAAATGTAATTGAATCCAAAGCTGCTAAAAGCAAGATTATGCTTATCCCAAAGAAGGAGCATGCTGCCTAACATAAACCAAAGCTTCAATATTTTTGCTCACAAGAAGAGTGGCAGATATAAAGGAAATAACAGACATCTTTTGAACACTAAACCGTGTACCAAAATGACTCAGAAGTTAATGATTTGGGGCAAGAGTTCTATTCAGCATCAAAATAAGATAAAAAGTCCTATTTCTCATTCTTTAGGATTGTCTCATGAAGAAACTGAGATATCTTCAAAACTTCAGAAAAATAATCTGCAACAGGAGAAAAAATGCTTCCAGCATAATGGTCAGAGTTCTACAAAGGAAATGCTTCCCTGTATTTCCCCAAGTTCTGTTAGTTTGAGAAAACCAATCTCTCCATTGCCTGTTGGACAAGCACAACTCCCAGTAGAGCATTTGAATCTGAAATATAGTGACATGTTCAAGGAAATACATTCTAATAGCAAAGGACCTGGCATTTATGAAATGTTTGGGACCCCGGTATATTCCCGTAAGCCTGATGGATATGGTGAGAATAAGGGTAACAGGAATGTGTGTTCTGCTCCAACTGGATGGCATAATGATATGAAATATAAATCTAACCGTTTCAATGGGAAGAAGACTAGCAGAATAAAAAGTCCCCAGAAGAAAACATTCTCTAAATCTCACAAGAGCCTTAGTATTAAACCAAAGCTGAAGGAGAAGGAAGTTGCACCAAAAAAGGTGTCCAAGTTAATAGACTGTGGTCTAGAACAGGGCAAAGATGTAACTGTCTCTTTTGCTGATCTGCAGATTCAGCCAAAGGAGAGCACTGAGTCAATTTGTGAAGATCAGCAAGCTCAGATTTTCACTGAATTCCCTGAACCTGCTAAGCAAAATGAAGTATTTCCTAATTCAGTCTTGTCACCAATTGAAGAAGCTTCTTTGGAATATACTTCAGATAATGATGATGAAGATAAAGATGATGCTTTTCCTATGAAAGCATTTGCCACCAATGTTCAGGAGTTACTTTGGCCAGAAGTTAAAGTTCATGCAGAATACGCTCCTTTCTTAAGCTGTGTGAAAAATATAAATGAACCAAAGAATGCAAACAACAGTAGGACTTTAAGGGATGGACAAAACAAAATAGCTGATTGCTTTGTGGAGCAGGAAGCTAGCCAGATTTTACAGTATAATCAAAAGCTATCTGCATCCTTTTTTACAGACCAAATAAGCTCATTTTCTCTCAAAAAATTCCAGCTTGAAAATGTCAGTGTAGCAAATATGACAACTGCATGGACTTACTATCTTGCAAACTCAGTCCCTCAGTCATATACAAATATCTTTGGGTACAAAGATTATAAGGAAGTAACAGAAGACATATTCTGTTGCTCAGTCACTGAACTGCTTTCTCTGAGTGGGACAGATGGCAACAATTCTAGCTCAATGACCAGAAATACAAATGTAGAGGCACAAAATGGAGACTGGAGAACAGCAAAAGTTAAAAATAATAAGGTAAGTGAGCACCATAGTATCCTACATTTATAATACAGTCTAATATTTAGGCTTTGCTGTACTTTAGTTTCTACATTTTACTTCTTATTTCTTCTTTCTTTGAGCAAAATGGGCTCTTCGTTCTCTTATATCCCCATTTAAAAATGTTAAAGCATAAGAATTTGTTTACTGGATCAAACTAACAATATTTTTCTAGTCCAGCAGATAACGTGATCTGTTCACACACTTAACAAGCAGGTCAGGGAGATCATGATTCTTTGCTATGTTCAGCATTTTTATTTAGATTATATTTTACTTACTTTTATTTTATTATTTAAAATATTTATATAGCCACTATGGGTGGCTCCCAATCAATTAAATTAGGACATTTAGTTAATAAATTTTTGACAATGCTAATCCATTATGTATTCATTTTAGGGATATAAAACCAATCTGTCTCTGAATAATAATTTTAAATTGAATAGTAGCAACTTCAGTCTTAGTTTCAGGGCTGTGATATGAAAAGCAGAAATTCTTTTCAATTTCAGATGTTGCAGTGTAGAATTTACTTCATGTAAACATAATTCTCAAAACAACTGACAAACCATCTGTATTTATCTTCTATTGCCTAGCAGTACTCTATTTTTCTGCCATCTTTTGCAGACTTTTTATCTGGATTTCATGGGATTTGATGAAGAAAATCCACTTCTACATGAAACTGCATTTTCAGAAAACAGTTTAATTAACCAAGAATGTATCTTGTGGACTAAAGGTGAAATCCTTGGAAAAGGAGCATATGGCACAGTAAGTCGTATTGCGTCTGACCGCATTTTGTGTATTGTATTCTAAGTAGTTTAATTATTTCCTTTTAGACAGAAACTCTCAAAATGGAGCACAAATTGAAAAGATACTGAGATATAAACTTGGAATCAAATTAAACTTCTGAATATCATTAAAACTAGAAAATTCTGTTAAAAAATTTCTTTATATAAGGCAACTAGTAATTAATATAGTTGATTTTGCCCTGTCCGCCTTCTGTTTGGAATCTAGCCTTTGACCAAATATCCTAGATGTACAAATGTTTGCACGCATAACTTGTTAAGGATGCAAATCTCCACAACTAATTTCAATGGGAGTTGAAATTAGCAAAGTATTCGTTTGCTTGTTTGTTTAATTCATATAGCCACCCATTTCAAACCAGTGCCTATGGTGGGAGACTAGAAGCAGGCCATTCCTTGGCAAGACAGGAACAATGTAACACACTTGTTTCACATTCTGGCTCCTGAGGCTCAGTTCCTGGACCCAATCAGCAGACAGACAATTAAAACATTTACAGAAAGAAATTAAATACAAACAGCAGCCAAGAGATAACTATAATCTGATAGTATCAGCGTAACCAGGAAATGGGGCTCTTTACACACTCAGAACCTCAGTCCCAGGCACATATCCAGAGCTCCAAGGCCCTCCAAAAAGCCAGGAAAGTCAGGCATCCTAATCTCAGGTGGGAGGGTGTTCCGGAGGAGAGGCAGTATAGCAGAAAATGCATGTCTCCTGGTTCCTGCCAGCTTGATGGGACCTGGACTGTGCCCATCCTGCTAGATCGGATTGGACAGGTAGAAACAACTGGAAGTATTTCCAGGTTGTTATTATTCATTGCCAAGTCCAAGGTCAGAAAATCCTGTCTCTGTGCAACCTAATTGTGGAGTTACACATGATATTGGCAGGTAGTGTAGTCTGGATGGAAGAAGTATTTCAACAGTGTATGTGTGACCATAAGTGATACCTCACCTTGATGTCCTATTTGAAAGGTGAGAAGTTGCAAGAGTCTATGACTAAAGTAGAGAGAAGCTAATGATATTGCTAATGTATCAGCTACCAAGCAACAGCTTTTCTTGAGTAGCTATTGTCATCATGGGGCTGGCATTGGACTGTTCCAAGTTACTGTTCCTGGGACAGAAGTTTCAGACCCAACGCAAACTGCTGCTTCTTTCAGAGGAGGAACTGTAGCTACCACTGCATGGTTCCACCTACACATCACCTCTCATGAAGCATTGATCAGCCAGGTGGGACATGGATCCAAAACATAGGAGGCAGCATGGCATCACGGCTGCATTCCTCAGAATTAAGAAACTCAAACACTTCTCAGTTAACCAAGCAAGATCTTACCTCAATCACCCCATTAGACCTGTATAATGAAAGACCACCTCTGTATGATTACAAGTGAGTTTATGTGACAGATGCCTTGAAAACTCCTTACAGGGACTGAGTCTCCCTAAACAGGCCACTATTCTATCCACAGATGTAACAGGAACATATCCATTGTATATTCATCCTAGAGATAAAAAACCAGTGTATCTCTGAATGCACATTTTGCCACTTTTACTGTAAGATGGTCCTTAACAAAAGACTTGACCATGCTCAGTCAGATGCATACTACACTTCATATACTTCCCACAAGACTTGGAAGATAGGAGAAAATATGTTAAAGTAGTTCTGTTTCTTCCTGAGTGAGCAGTTACAGTTGGTGATTATGGGAGAAGAGTAGCCAAACCTGTAGCATCTGCTATACAAAATGGGGCCTCTCCCCCGTCTTTTCACATGATCCCACATGAAACCCCTGGGAGAGGAGAAAGTAATCAATATGCTGATGATATCTATAGATCTCCATTCTGAAGATGCTGTGAATGTCCTTGGTGTTTGAGATTGTCAGATCAGTTCAGACTGAATCCCAACAAATCCCAATTACTGTTTGTCAGAAGCCAGCTGACTCATTGTCTCTTCCAATATCAGTCTGGATTGAGTCACACTGCCCCTGAGCTTGCATATCTACTAATTAAGGGGTTGAATCAATATTGTTGCTGTATTTTTTTTTTTTTCAATTTGGGTGTCATATAAGTTGTACCTTTCCTTGAGATTTTGATTTGGCAGGATAGAAATGAAATAAGTAAATAAATAGTAGAATTGTATAATTAAAGTGTCATAAAATGACTGAGTCAGAAGATGCCATTGAGTCCAACTTCCTACTCAGAAATAAAAACTACAGCACTTTTGACCAAGTTCTATTTAGCATCTCCCTAGTTAAGTGATTCCTTGAACTGCTGTTTGCCATTTAGAGAGGGGGACAATTGGACTTCCAGTGCTGAAGTGATTAAGCTGAATTAAATCAAAAACATATATGTTGTTATCTGTTCTACTTCAAAATGACCTGCTTTGATATTTAGGTATACTGTGGACTTACAAGCCAAGGACAATTAATAGCTGTGAAACAAGTAGCACTGAATGCATGTGATCAAGCTGGGAATAAAAAGGAATACCAGAAACTACAAGAAGAAGTTGAGATTTTGAAAAACCTAACACACGTCAACATTGTGGGGTACTTGGGAACAAGTTTAGAAAATAACATAGTAAGCATCTTCATGGAGTTTGTTCCTGGTGGTTCCATTTCCAGTATTATTCATCGCTTTGGGCCACTGTCAGAAATGGTGTTTTGTAAATATACAAAACAGATTGTACAAGGAGTTGCATATTTACATGAAAACTGTGTGGTGCACAGAGACATTAAAGGAAACAATGTTATGCTTATGCCTAATGGCACAATCAAAGTAATAGACTTTGGATGTGCAAAGCGCTTAGCCTGTGTGAGTCTGACTAATACACATAGTGAACCACTGAAATCTGTGCATGGCACTCCATATTGGATGGCACCAGAAGTGATAAATGAATCTGGCTATGGGAGGAAATCAGATATCTGGAGCATTGGCTGCACTGTTTTTGAGATGGCCACTGGAAAGCCACCATTGGCTGCCATGGATAAACTAGCAGCCATGTTTTACATAGCTGCTCACAAAGGACTTATGCCTTCACTACCCAAACAGTGCTCAGACAAAGCAGTTGATTTTGTACATCTGTGCTTAACAAGGTACGTGATTTATATATCTAAAATTAGTTTTATTCGCAGTAAAACAATTCACACAATCAGATTTCTTGAGTTTGAGCGCCTTAAAAAATAAAATAGTAGTTTAGGCATCGCAGTTCAATCACAATTAAACTTATGGTATACAACATGTCCATCTTTTCTGACCTTTCCAGTTAGGATTAGAATAAGCCTTTTCTATACAGGGTAGGTTCATATATGCTTGTGTGTGTTAAGTCATTTGTCTTCTGCAAGAGTCTCGGGGGTACTTCAGGTACATGTCAGGTTAATCTAGAATCTGCGGTCTCCTGGTTTCTGCCCCCACCCCACTTTCACCACTATATAAAATTGGTTCTGCAAAAACTGGCTTTTCCTCCAGCATTGCAAATGGATTTTTATTGGCAAATCAGGAACATTCCCTTCTCCTCTCTCCCTGTAAACCTCTTTGGGTCCATATATTGATTCAGAAAACTCCTAAACTTTATAGAGATGTGAAAGTTTCAGGGACCAAAGGGACATCTCCTTCCATTAATTACCTTTTAGCAAAAAACTACCATGTTGTGAGCCGTGGTGGGGCAGTGGTTATAATGCAGTACTGCAGGCTGACTCTACCCACTGTCAGGAGTTTGATCTTGACCGGCTCATGGTTGATTCAGCCTTCCAACTTTCCATGGTCGGTAAAATGAGGACCCAGATTGTTGGGGACTCTGTAAACTTCTCAGAGATTGCTGTAAAGCACTCTGAAGTAGTATATAAGTCTTAAGTGCTATTGCTATATTCCCTTTAAGACAAGGCAAACTTGTCTTCCTGCCTATCTTGTGAGAGCAACAGTTTTGAAAGCACGTTACAGTAAGACAGGTAACTAACTAATCCTACTAAGGCGGCTTACCCCTATGGAACCTTTGAAGATGGCCTTAAGTTTTGTGTAGGATTACGCAAGGAGAGGTGAGCCTTCCAATACTGGAATGACAAATTATAAAGGATTTAAAACATTTTTCTTACAACCATATTAACTGACATTTCCAAACTTGTTTTCAGTGGTAACCTCAGATATAGGCCATTTTTATGAAATGTCAATATCGCACACAGATTTTTCTAATACATAGCCATCTGAAAAGAAAAAGGAACACCTGTAATATGCAAACTTTAGTTATCATTTAAATAACCACCAGGAACCATGGTAGCTGGGCAGTAGAAAACATTATAGAAAATATTCAGTCATAACTGAAAAAATAATTTGTTTTGGCAGCTGGCCATATGGCATTAAATTTAAAGATTCTTAGCTACATTGGAATCTTAGTTATGACTTGTGGAGAAGGTCAGTCAAGTTTAATTTTACTTTTCATGTTTGTATACAGTGTATTCAAAAAGTATTCAGACTCCCTTCACTTTTGTCAGTTTTGTTATGCTGCAGCCTGTTCTACAGTTATTGAAATTCATTTTTTTCTCATTAATCTACAGTCAGTACCCAAAGTGAAAACAGAACGTTAGAAATGTCTGTAAATTTATTAAAAAAAACACTGAAATATCACATTGGCATAAGTATTCAGGCCTTTCAACTCAGTACTTTGTTGAAGCACCTTTGGCAGCAATTACAGTCTCAATTCTTTGTGGGTATGATGTGGATTGGGGGATTTTCTGCCATTTTTTTCTTGCAAATCCTCTCAAGCTTAGTCAGGTGGGCAGCCATTTCAGGTCCCTCCAGAGATGTTCAATAGGGTTCAAGTCGGGGCTCTGGCTAGGCTACTCTAGGTCATTCCCAGAGTTGTCCCTAAGCCATTCCTGTGATGTCTTGACTGTGTGCTTAGGATCGTCATGTTGGAAAGTGAACCTTTGGCCCAATTTGAGTCCTGAACACTGGAACAGGTTTTCATTGAGGATATCCTTGTATTTTGCTCCATTCAGCTTCCCCTCAACCCTGACCAGTCTCACAGTGCCTGCTGCTGAAAAGCACCCCCACATATGATGCGGCCACTGTTGGGATGATATTGGGCAGGTGGTGCCTGGTTTCCTCCAGATATAACATTTAGAATTGAGACCAAACAGTTCAATCTTGATTTCATTAGACCAGAGAGTCTTGTTCCTCACAGTCTGAAAGTCCTTCAGGTGCTTTTTTGTAAACTCCAAGCTGGCTTTCATGTATTTTGCACTAAGGAGAGGCTTCTGTCTAGGCACTCTGCCATAAAGCCCAGATCGGTGGAGGGCTGGTGATGGTTGTCCTTCTGGAACTCTGTCCGATCTCAGCACAGGATCTCTGGAACTCAGTCAGTGACCATTGGTTTCTTGATCACTTCTCTTACTAAGCCCCTTCTCTCCTGATTGCTCAGTTTGATCAGGTGACCAGCTTTTGGAAGAGTCCTGGTTGTGCCAAATATCTTCCATTTGAGAATTCTGGAGGCCACTGTGCTCTTAGGAACTTTCAGTGCAGCAGAAATTTTATTGTAGCCTTCCCAAGATCTATGCCTTGCAATAATTCTGTCTCTGAGTTCTGCAGACAGATCCTTTGACCTCATGGCTTTTCTCTGCTACAGTATGCATTGTCAGCTGTGAGGCCTTCAATAGAGAGGTGTGCGCCTTTCCAAATCATGTCCAATCAATTTAATTTACCACAGGGCAACTCTAATCAAGGTGCAGAAACATGTCAGCAAAGAGACAAGAGAAATGGGAGGCAATTGAGCTAAATTTCAAGTGTTGTTGCAAAGGGTCTGAATACTTATGCCAATGTGATATTTCATTTTTTTTCTTTTTAATCAATTTACAGACATTTCTAACATTCTGTTTTCACTTTGTCATTATGGGGTACTAAATGTAGATTAATGAGAAAAAAATGAATTTCAACAACTGCAGAATCAGGCTGCAGCATAACCTGACAAAAGTGAAGGTCTGAATACTTTCTGAATGCACGATATATATAAAAAGGGTGAAAAATAAATTTAATCAACTTAGAGCATGAACTTCAGTTCAAATACCAGATAAGTATCTTAAAACATTAAGATCGATAGAACTTTGTTTAAAAATAAAACTTGGAGCAATGCTAATATTTTGACATATTTTCTCAGAGTATAACACTCTTTTTGGCTTTGAGTAAATAAAAGCATGTATTAATGCACCATGGTTTAAGAATCAATGTACCTCTTTTATATAAGTTATTAAATAGATAGAAAATGAGTAATATGGTTTCTACCAAAGATTTTATTGTCTTACTGTTAATTTCTGTTTTTTTAACACTTCATGCAGGGACCAACATGAGCGGCCAACTGCCTTAGAATTGTTGCAACATCCTTTCATAAGAAACTCATGACACCTGGCAATGCTTCTATCAAACAAATATAAACTATTTCATTTGTGTGGGAAAATGTCTTCTAAATTGAGAAAGTGTTGGTACAAAACTTGTAGAAGTTGCTGAAATAGTAAATCTTTTATCTTTTCTGAATGAACTTTGTAGCATAGGATTTAGTGTGTGTGTGTGTGTGTGTGTGTGTGTATAAATAAGTTCAAAACATTAGACCTATGAGGCTTCCCCCTCTCCCCCAAACAATTCACATTCCTGCCTTTTCCCTCCAGTGGAGCTACTTAGAGATGGACAAGCTTTTGAAGCGACCTTAAGCTAAAAGTAACAATTTTTAAAGTACTGGACAAAAACCAAAGTATTCTCAACCTCTTTAGATTCTGGCATAAAATGAGTCCAGTGTAAATTACCAGCACACAAAGTATTCCTGATAATCTAAAATTTTGGTTCTTAAGCAACAGTACTTTCAAAAGCCTATTGTATTACATGTAAATGTGGGAATACCAAAGCACAATCCAGTGCAAATGTCCTCAGATATAAATCCCTTTATCATTGGATTACCATTGTAGTGTATATTTGTAAATGTTAAGCAACATTACAGATAGATGAGACTTGTTACTCATGTCTATATTACCCAGATAAGCAGTTCCAACAAAGTTCAAAAACTACTTGAAAAATTAAACATTCAAGTATAGACAGACCTTTTGTGCATTGCAAAGTTCATGTAACTATCCTATTTCATGGTATTCTGAAACATGCAGCTAGCTAACCTAAGCTGCCTTCTTTTTTAAGGGACTCTACTCACCTGCTCATTTGCTATTTCTTGATGTACTATATATATACCAGTGGTGGCAAACCTATGGCACGGGTGCCAGAGGCAGCACTCAGAGCCCTCTCTGTGGGCATGCGCGCCTTCACCCCAGTCCTAGGCCTTCAGCTGGGTTTTATAACACCTTTTCGCTTTAGGCCTCCACTGCCGTGTACAAAAAAAAAGGTTCAATCAATCAGTCAATTTCAACTTCTTGAGGGGAAAAAAAAGATCTTGCAAAGTTGGAATTGTTTGAACTTTTTAGTCCCACCCAGTCTGCTGTTACCACTGCAGCCACGCCCACCCAATGGGCCACACCCACCTGGCACCTTGGGTTGCAGTTTGGGCACTCGGTCTCTAAAAGGTTCGCCATCACAGATATATACTCACAAATAAACCCATGTATGAATAAGCCAACCTTCAAATTTTTAACCAATTTTTATCTGCAGGTGACACCAATAAAAATGTGTCACCTGCAGATAAGATGATCTGCATTTTTCATGATATTTTAGTTAAAATAATTTGAGGGACTGTTTGGCTGCAGATGGGCTTATATGCAGGTATACACTGTATAGATTGATAAGCTAAAATTGATTATTTTTGGGTGCATTTGAGATCCTAAAATACTTGGTTTATTTGCAAGTATATACAGTATAATTTAAAATAGCATTTCCTGGAATTTAGTTATATTAAGAATTGTTTTTGACACTGAATGCCTATTCTTCCACCTGCATGCAAATGGAAGAACAGTTTTCCTCACCAATACTACCTTTAGCTCCTTTTTGATCTTTTGGTTTCCATTGTAAGTTTTTTCACATCCGAGTCATCCTATCCTGCAGGTGTCCTGCCATCCTTCATTTCACTCAGATTTATGTCATTATCAGCACTAACATGTATTTATATTCATAGCAGTCCTCTCTACATCATTTCTTGTTGCTTTATAAAACATTTCTTCACTGTTTTTAGGAAACGTAGCTTTACAATGAAATCTTTATGAATTGCGGTGATCTGGGAACAAAGAACTGGTACTCTTGCTATATTGCTTCCTATGATGTGGACAGTAATTGAGAAACATGCAGATTTACACAGAATAAGAAATCCAAATTTCCTTAATTTCACATGAGCTTGTTTGTACTAAATAAACCCTTATCTAGAAGTAAATTATTAGTTGGCTGCCTTCCATCTTTCATACTTGAAACTAGCAGTGAATTCTGAAGCTTTTTGAAAAAGGTTTCTGTATTTTGAGTCTAGCAGTTTCTGCATGTTGAGCGTTTAAAATGCTTCCCAAAACCATATATGCCAGTTGCTAAGATTCCTTTTAATGGGCAGGTAAGAAATTTGAAAGCTGCTTTTATTAAAGTTGCTTGCTTCTGGAATTGATTGGATCATAGCAGCTAATTGGAAATAAGTTTCTTCTTAAGTAAATATTTTAAGCTAAGTATTGTTAAGTCCATTTTGTAAATTTCTACAGGTGGTCCTTGGCTTACAACTATTAGTTTAGCAAACGTTTGAAGTGACAGTGGCACTGGAAAAAGTGACTGACTGCTCTTTTTGCACTTATAACCGTTGCAACATCCCTGTCACATTATCACAATTTGTGCACTTGTCAATTAACATGTATTTAGAATGGTTATAGTATCCAAAGTTCAGGCAATCATCATTTGCAACCTTCCTAGCCATCTTCTGACAAGCAAAGACAATGGGGATGCTCAATTTGCTTAACAACTGCATAGTTCACTTAACAACTGCAGTGATTTGCTTAACTGTGGCAAAAAAGCTTGTAAAACCAGACATGACATACTTAATTCCCTCACATAGTGATGGATGATGTGCCAGTCCCAATTCTGGTTATAACCTGAAGTCTGCCTATAACTTATTCAAGCTTAAATATGAGTCATCTTTAAAAAAGCCATCTTTAAATGCAAGAATCAGTCATGCAGGTATTCGAAGCTCAATACGGTAGCCTTGTCAAAATGAACGAAATAGTAGTAGATACAGATAAATGTGCTTTTCAGGGTTGGGCTGTATAATGCTATCACTTCTGATGACTGACAAGGTCTGCTGAGATTCATTGCAATTATAGTCAAAATCAGCTTATCTATACTCCTATGACTGAGCTTCCCAATGATTATACTGCTTTCTTCTTCCACAGAATGAAAGTTTATTTTCCTTTGGCAACAAACATCTTTGTTTCAGAGATTTCAAATTTCTTACACCAGTTTAATGGCCATAATTTGTTACAATACAAAATATCTAATTCCCCCCCCCATTTCTTTCAGATTCCCTGAACTTTAGTTATTTAAATCAAATGCTATTACTATATATGCTATTAAGCATTGTTTCCTCTCTGGATGAATTCTTATTCAAGACTGCTTCCTTGTCTTTCCTTCACTCCTCTTCCTTAATGGTTTCATATCCAATTCCTCTTTACTATTTCTAATATTCTATAGCACAAATACAGTTCCCTCCCCTCTTGATTTCAGACATTGTCTACCTATTCTCTAAGTGTAATATAAATTTCTTGAGGGCATATTTGGAATGAGAAGAAAATACTTTACGTTTCTAAATAAAAATGTTAAGTTAAAAACTAGAGCTACATGGAATACAGCAGCAAAGTTAGCAGCTTCAGGTGTTAAGTTGGCTTTCAGAGATATGTTTTATACATGTTTTAATTTTAAATAGTGCATGAGCCCCTAGGGAGCCTGACACAATGCTTTAAACAGAATATACATACCGACAACATAGATAAATGATTTCAAATTAAGTTTAGAATCTAAGAATATGAATAGAATTCCTCCATTGAAAAGAGCAGCAGGAGATCAAATGCTTCTTCCTTGCAGTTTTTCTCCAAATTTCATGGCAAGAGTAGACACTGAATTTCATCCTTACAAAGCAAATATCAAGGGGTTAAACCAGGGGTGTCAAACTGGTCGCCTGCGGGCTGGATGTGTCACACAGGCCACGCCCATCCCTGCTCCGCAAAGGCAAAAAAAAAAAAGATACGTCATGTGACATGATCGAACTTGACACCCGTGGGTTAAACCATCAGGTTATACAACATTTCCACGGCATCCAAAATATGTTTTAGCACCTAACATTTATCTTTCTTGAGAGCATTAGTTCTTCCCCAGAGTAAATTTCTTAACTGTAAGAGTTAATAATGATTATAGATGATAATGGCTTATAAAATTCAGTAACTTTAGATGATATTAATTGTAAAATGAAAATGCAACTGCATCAAAGAATTAAGCCATTACAATTTCATAAACTTCTATAACTGCATTGAAAGTTACATGGAACTGACCTTTGCTGTGAGTGTATGTGCCTAAAACGGGGAAGATTTATATAGACCCCTCAAGCATGCATTCCAGTGTGCCCCCTACAAATACATTCCAAGTGAAATAAAATAATCCTTCCTCTTCCTCCCCAGCAGGACCCATTTTCTATGAGTAAGAGTCCTTGGTATTCAAGAAACAGTAAATACTTATACATTGAGTAAAATTCTACAGATCTGTTATTTGAGTCTGATCAACATTATAGAGTTTGGATTCTTTATTTCAGGGGTGTCAAACTGCTGGCCCGTGGGCCGGACGCATCATGAGGAAACCGGGCCCACTCCATTGCTGGCAATGGGGGAAAAGTTCCGATACGTCTCACGACGTCACGAGTTTGACATGTCTGCTTTATTTGCAGCTATTCAATTAGATTTATATCTTGTTAAGAGAATCCAATTTATAGGAAAATGAAAATGTGAGAAAAAATTGAGTCCACATATAGTAAATTTAAAGAGCAGAGGAGAAAGAAAGAAAGAATCCCAATCCTATGGTTAGTTGTGGAAAAATACAGAGGATTGGGTTCCAAGTTGAAGTTCAAACATAATATAAAATTCAGGGGTTGTTTTTATTTAGATCTGTAGCCATGTGTCCATTATATCTTCAAACTGTAATGGATAAAATGCATTCCAAGGCAAAGCTATAAGCTGGGAAGCAAATACTATGAGACTTTGTAAATAAATTTTATTTAAAGCAAACATTTACTGGTTTTTCTTCTTCCTACTGGGAATCACAGTTTAAAACATTTAATCTTTCTTACACTATATGTCAAAAGCTCTTGAGGATTTCATAGCATAAATGAGGTAGTGAAGAAAGTCTAAAAAGGCTTAAAATGCAACAACGCAGGATCAAATTTCACAATACAGGGTTTAAGAAATATTCTCAATATAAAAATTACAAGGGTGAAGAAGTAACAAGTACGGATGAAAGAGACTGAAGAGCTAAGGAGATTAAAATTTGAAGATACATTATTCATAGTGCCCATGTTAAAGTATTAAAAAGACACCCATAATTCAAATAAATGTATTCAAGTATGCAGTACAAAGTTTTGCATTACCGGCAACTAAATATTACATAGTAATTGATGCAACAGTAGTTACATTATATTGTAACCACTAATTGGATACATGCTCAACAATTATCTAAAGCACTTTTAATGTAGCTAAAGGGCTTAAAACTTCAGACTTTTTCTGAAATGTTTGTAACCAATTAGAGCATAAACTGTGCAAGAACTGATTTTACCAAATAGTGGATCCCTCTCAGATATGAGGATAACTTAACAAAATCTTTTAGATTTTACACCCAGTAAGTAACAGTTGCTACTGTACTGAATTTACGCTGAGGTAATTTCCATGCACTTAAGAGTCACAGCTGGTAAAAATGGGACATCAGCTTGGAACAAGAATTCATCAACATTTACAACAGTAATTTGTTTTTTTAAAAAAAGGCAGGTGAATGAAAACAGTAATATGACACAGCCATAAAAATGTATACTAGTGGTTTAATTGGAGAGTGATTATTCAGATCTGAAAAAACAACCTCCATTTTCGTTACTACAATCACGAGTACAATTCATGTAGCACACGTGACAATTATTTTATTGTCCGAGATAAGAGAGAAGTTGGTATACCAACAATTGTACTTATTTATTGCAAAGATAATATTCCACCTGTAAAAGAAATGGCATTTTATTCACATAGCACACTTTTTAAATTCAAAATGTGGCGTTCTGTATGAAATGCTAATGGAAAACAGTGATCCCTGTCCACTAATAACTTAAGTTTTCTTTAAAAAACAAAACAAAAAACATACTAATGTCACTACAGAAGTTTTATGTATTTCAGCTCTTAAATCACGTTAATCTATGTAACCATTATTAACAGCTCTGTGTGTCTATTACTGCATCAAGCCAAACATTTAAATGCACTTTCACGTCAAAAGATTATATATAAACTTTTTTTATTATTTTCATTCCCCCTTCTGAAAGTTACTGACATTTCAGCACTCGACTGGTTTATGACAAATTGAGGCCCATGCCATTTTCACATTGCGTGGCAGGGGTCCTCCTGCCAGGGTTGTTCATCCACTTCCCACCAGCACATGATTCCCCAGGCAGTGGATGGCGCTCAGGAAGTGGCTCCCAAATAAGGCCCAACGTTTAACATGAAGTGCCACTGAAGTTTCTTCCTTATCGATGCTGACACAAGGGAAAAAGTTAGGTACACTGGTTATACTTACAAGCAGCTCCAATCCTGAGTTATTTATGGTATATCTAAACATACAAAAATGTATGTACAATCTCTCCACTTTTTTGTTGTAAACATCGTCAGTATACTTTATATATCCCTTCTTTGAAACATGCAAATCATACATACAGTATAAATACACCAAAAAAAAAAAAAAGTTTACACTCATTCATTCACTAAGCAACAAAAATCGTGGCTGGCATAGTTCAATTATAAATAATGCAAGAGGCATTCCATACAGCTAAAAAAAGCAGCCATTTAATCTACTGTTCTTAACTGTGGTTGTGGAAATACTGTGATTTTGCACCTTCTGTATCATTAGAGTATTTATAACACTATCATTATGTGGAGACAGGCTCATTTACTAATCTCTTCAGAGTGAAAGATAAAGCAGCACATACTTATATATATATATACATATATATATGTATAAATTACATATATATATCTATCTATATCTATATATAAAGTGGACAACAGCTGCTGGATTTGCTCTTCTTAGATGATGATTTTTTTTCTGTCTAATATTCTTAAATTAAGAAAAGGGAAAAGGAATCTAAACAACTGATTACATATTCATTCCTTGGGCACTTAACAGTGAATCCAGCATGTCGAATGTGTCTTTGTAGTCCATATGCTGGCTGTTTGTACTGTACTCGTGACTGGCATCAGGACCGTTCTCCACTGGGTTCTTGTCCAGTTTCACGAGGGTGCTGAGATGTCCGTAGCCCACCTGGTATGTGACATGGGGAGGAGGGGGTAAGGGAAGGTTAAAAACAGAGTTGAGAGAGGATACATACTGCTTAACAGAGGAAGAACTAGATGAACTACCTGAACTTTTGGAACTTTTGCTCATTTTGGAATGATGGTTGTGAGAAGCATCATTGCTGAAGAGCTTCTTTCTTGAAGAGCCGGAACTAGAGACGCTGCCATCGGAGCTCAAACCAACAGGACTCCTCAGAACAGCTGGGGTTAATCCATCACTACCATGTTTACCGCCGCCACTATGCTTATGACTGCCACCGTGGTGACGGTTCATGGAATGTTCCTTGTGCTTTTCCTTGCTAACATGGGGACTCGAGTGCTTGCTTTTCCCACTTCCTTCATCCGACGAGCTGTGCCTCTCTGAGGACGAGACTTTGATTTTCATTTTCAGGTCTTCTTTAGTGGCATTCTTTTCGGTGGGAGGAATGGGTATTCGCAGCTTGAGCGAGCCACTTTTGTCTTTTTTGTCTGGCATGTATTTCTCAGGTTTTTCTGCACCCCCAATGGGAATTTTCATTTTAATAGGGGAAGTTACGGAACTGCTATTGGCTGTTTGGGGTTGGGTGTGCTTTTTATATGGAGGCTCGGATGCCATGTAGTGTTCTCGGATATCCAGTTCTAAGGTTTCTAGCTTACGTTTCTCTCTGTATTTATCCAGGGACATTTTCTGAGGCATTATCGCAGGGGCAGGAGCAATCTGCCCGTGTTTGTTTCCCACTTTGTGGACCAGAGAGTGCTCAGAGAGTTTGTCGGCTCGATGATGCAATCCGGAATGCAACTGCAACGAAGAGCTCGGCGGATAGTTGATATTGAACTGAGCGCCCGGCAATGAAGTCTCCTGTTTCTGAGAATACAACTGTTCTGTCCTCGTTTGCTCTTGGTGTTGAGGCCATTCTTGGTGTGTTGACAAATTATATGAGGTACCTGGCATTCCTGCAGCTAATATTGCCAGATTATCTTGACTATCTTGAAGAGACATATTTCCTGAGTTCAAAGGAACTGGGGCAGGAAATGTGGACGCTGATGGTTTCTGGAAACTTGCATTTGCAGATATACCAGCAACAGCATCCACCAAAATGGAATTCTGAACCAAAGAGGAGCCGAGAAGAGAGTTTTCAGATGCCTGGCCATCTCCTTTAGGTTTCTTAGCAGCCTGCTGATTAGCCTGTGCAAGAACACATGAGTAACTTAGTATCTGTTCTCAACTGTGCAATCTCTAAGGACATTTCAAGTTCTATGGAGGTTACCCAGACCCCAAAGAGAGTAGAGTGCGTAAGCGTAATGATTACCTATGCCAGTGGTGGCGAACCTATGGCACAGATGCCAGAGGCGGCACTCAGAGCCCTCTCTGTGGGCACGCGTGCCGTCGCCCCAGTCCTAGGCCTTCAGCTGGGTTTTATAAAACCTTTTCACTTTAGGCCTCCGCCATCATGTGCAAAAAAAAAAAAAAAAGTTCAATCAGTCAATTTCAACTTCTAGCAGGAAAAAAAAAGATCTTGCAAAGTTGGAATTGATTGAACTTTTTAGTCCCACCCAGTCTGCTGTTACCACTGCAGCCATGCCCACCCAATGGGCCACACCCACCCGGCCCCCCAACGATGCATAAGTGGGTTTTGGGTTGCAGTTTGGGCACTTGGTCTCCAAAAGGTTTGCTATCACTGACCTATGCTGTGAACAGAGAGGCTAGGATCCAAATTTGGAAAACATTATTTCTACTCTCTCCCATTTCATTCCATAGCCCCTCACACTATCTTTTACACTGCTTCCCAGGCCCCATCCAAAAATCTTGCATTTTAGAAAATATAGGAAAATAAAGAATTTCCAAATATCGTCCACCAGCCCTCTTACTTTGGTGTCAGCACAAATCTGTTTATACAGTAAACTCTCCTTCCTGGTGAGCTAAGCTACATGGACACGTTCATATAATTTTGTTTAATAGAAACATGGAGTCCTTCTCCAAAGGAGATATTCTTTTAGAATGTTTTCTTCAAATTACCAATCCAGCCTACACTTCATGAAAATTTCCCAACCCTGTATACCTCAACTCTACTTAGCTTCTGAACTAATAATTTTTTTAAAAACCCTAACAGTTCAGTAATTTTTTTAAAAACCCGAACAGTTCCTGGGATCCCATATTAGCTATTCAATTCATAAGCCATACTGACTGGAGGGAAGGAAAGACAGACCTACTATCTATTCCTTCTTTTTTTGTGATCTAAAAAGTCCTCCTCAAGAACTAAGGAATCTGTGCTTCAGTAGGAGGTGGCTCGGTATGGAGTGATACCCCATATTCCATCAATGAAGAGCAATAAATCATTTAATTTCACTGACATTTTTGCTTTGTACTTATTTAACACAGATTTATCCAGAAAATCAAACAGTTTTAAGAACATCAAGGTTCACTTTAATAATTAAGGTGGAATACCATGTATCTATAAATAGAAGCAGATTCCAGTTGCAGAATGAAACCCTGGGAAAAGGAGACAGACCCTCAAAGTCTGCTCAGCAAGTCTCTCAACAGGCAAGCAGACAATTTAAAAGATACATGGGGATTACAGAAAAAAAGGAAAGTGAAGGAAAATATATAACATTTCTATTTAGAATTTGTCCAGAATATTTCAAGAAAGCCAAAGGCACACATATCAACATACAGGTAGTCCTTGTCTTACAACCGCAATTGAGCCCAACATTTATGTTGCTAAGTAAGAAATTTGTTAAGTGTGTTTTGCCCCATTTTATGACTTTTCTGGCCATATTTGTTAACTGAATCACCGCAGCTATTAGATTAGTAACATGGTTTGTTAAGTGAATCTGGCTTCCCCGGTGACTTTGCTTCTCAGAGGTTGTAAAAGGTGATTACATGGCCCCAGGGCACTGCAACCGTCATAAATGTGAGTCAGTTGTCAAGCATCCAAATATCAATCATGTTACCATGGGGATGCTGCAATGGTTGCAAGTGTGAAAAATGGTCGTAAGTCACTTTTTCAGTGCTGTTGTAACTTTGAACAGTTACTAAATGAACTGTTGTAAGTTGAGGATTACCTGTATTAGTAACAGTCTTTATCAAGAGAGATTCTTACCCTCCAATTTCGAATTCTCTTTAGTCTGCTAGGAGTTTTCTCCAGTATCTGAAGAAATTCGTGAGTTAGCTCTGTGAAAGAAAATAGATGCAAGATTAATATATTTGAATTACTAGCTGAAAACCTTTAGTGCATTTTCAGTCGAAGAAAAAAAAGTAGGACAATTTTATTAGTGATGAAAAGTGTTTCTACTTCTACAAAGAAAGCATACACAAATTAATATTTAAGACTTGCTGTTAACTAACTGTTACCTCCTCCCATAAAGATTTACATACAACGATACTTAAGAATATGCAAAGAATGAAAGGGACTTTTTTTCTAATAATTACTACATGAAAAGTGGGCAACAAGTAACGCATATCAGTCCTCCCTTCTGCACCCCAAGATTTCAAAACTGGCGCAATGTTAGTCTGTTTTTCAGAGTGTCACTGAAAATGGTTCTTGTGAGACTTTCCCTCAAGCAAAATTTCGATAATTGTTGAGAGGCTTCTAAAATGTTGGTTATTCTCCTTCCATTAGTATTATATCATCATTTTTCCCCAAAAGATTGGGAGGTGGAGCTGCATGGTTCAAACATTGATCACACCACCTTAAGGCCTAATATCACTCGTTTTATCATAGCTTGATGTTTGAGCCCAATTATTGGTTGTGTCCTAATGCTATACAGAGAGCAGGACATTATGTCTTTTTATACAATCACTGCTAAAAATGTACTCTCAATAATAAGCATTGCATTTACTGTTTGCTTTGTATTAACAAGGCTCTTCATTTTTACACTGTATTTTTTCAAACACTACAAACTATAAAAAAATTACTTAGATTTCTGTAGACTTCAGAAAATAAAATTTTTGAAGTAGTGTACAACAGAACAGCAAATGTATGCAACATTAGTACCTGTGTCCAGGAATGTTGTTTTAGAAAATTGACTCATTTTTATGCTAAAAATGTAATAAGTTTCAACAAACTTTGGTATGTTTGCTATGGTTCTGTCCACTTGTAATACCATATTGGTTAAGAATTACTGATACGGTGAACCAGATTCTTCAAAAGCAGTTAATGGTTAAAATGTCAATATTCTGGTAAATTATGTCCTAAACCCCTGAAATCTATCAATATATGAAGAATGGAAAAAAATAGAATTATATATTCATGGAAAAATATCTATGTCTCTAAATCTAAATGCTGGCTTAACGAAATTTCTTATCTCTCAGCCTCTGAATCCATTTTGTATTCATGGAGAGACAAGACTGGATAATATAATTCCTTATGATCTAGGTTCAAATTATTGTTTAAAGGTTGAATTACAATTTCTAGATGAATCTGCAGTTGATGATTCCAGAGGAAAAGGTTCCAAATATATGAATGTAAAATAAATAAGAAAACAATCTTGTCTATCAGGACAGGGAGTGATTTTAATTAGACAAAAGAGGGTAGCATATGGAAAGAATAAAATTATGATGTAACCCTAAACAGAGACAGGGTTTCTTTATTACATTTATATGGCAACCATAGTCAATGTTCACCTGAAATCCCCACCAAGAAACACAACGGAGTCAAAAAGTCCTCTAATGCAGGGGTCCCCAACCTATGGACTGCGGTCCGGTGGCCAGGGCCTAGTAGGGACAGGCTGGCCCGTGGACCCATTTGCGCATGTGCACAAGGCTAGCAGCAGCAGCATCTGTGCAAATGGGGCCGCTAGAGCACGTGTGGGTTGCATGGCCCATTTGCGCGGGGCTAGCAGCGGCGGCTAGCACTTGCCCACCTACGCAAACAGAGCCACTAGCCCCGTGTGGGTGGGCGCGGCCCCGTTTCTGCATGCCCGCATGTGCACCAATTTCCTAGCTGCTCACTTTCCCTCCGGGCCACCAGCATGAAAAGGTTGGTGACCTCTGCTCTAACGTTATCTTTAATGGGCTGAATCATAGCGGCAAGTTAGAAAGCGAAAGCTGGCTCTAACGAAAAGGTGGGAAGCGATTAATTAAAAGAGTAACTCTCCTCCTCTCTCCTTTGACCAGTCAGGTCACATTGTCCAATAGAATTCCCATCGTTTGTTATGAGAGGCATTCTCGGTTTGCCAAAACAGAACTTTTACTTCTCTAGCTTTCTCATGATGATAAACCACCTGTGGATTCCATTCCCTCTCCCTCCCCCCTCCCCGCTCTATAGGCAAGCTAAAGGCACACAGCTTGACACCCACCTCATAAAAAATGACCCTGGGTAGCATACAACAATTTTTTCTATTTCTGATTTTCTTTTTTACTAATATACCATTCTTTCTTATTTTCTTTGTTTCTTTTCTAATATTTGTATTGAATTTATATTGTTAAAATTTCGAAGGAAGGAAGGAAGGAAGGAAGGAAGGAAGGAAGGAAGGAAGGAAGGAAGGAAGGAAGGAAATTTCTCCTATTCCTCATTTTCTTGCTTTTGAAAACAGACCCTGACAAGCCCACACCTCCTAAAAACCTTTTTCCTCCCCAAATGGCCTATTTGGCCAAGTTAATTTTTCCAATTAGTTCTGTTTGTATGAACTGATACTGATAGAACTGCTACTGCTAATAAGAGCTGTGGTGGCGCAGAGAGGGCTGTAAAGCACTATGAAGTGGTATATAAGTCTAAGCCAGTGGTTCTCAACCTGTGGGTCGGGACCCCATTTGGGGTCGAATGACCATTTCACGGGGGTCGCCAAACAACGCAGTCTGCCATTTCCCCCCCCCCCTTTTCCTTAGCTGTGCTACTCCCTTTTATTCTATTGGCTTTTGAAAGGCAATAGAATAGACTCTCTTGAATAGAGTCTAATTCTATTGGCTTTCAAAAGCCAATAGGAATTGTCCAGGCTGTCTCTGCCCTGCTGAGTCTGCCAAAAGTCCCATTCTGCAAGCGGTGCTGCACCAGTTGAGTAGTCCTCGACTTACGACCGGTTGAGTAGTCCTCGACTTACGACCGGTTGGGGGGTCGCGGCATTAAAAAGGTTGAGAACCACTGGTCTAAGCGCTTTTGCTACTTGCTAGATCAGTGTTTCTCAACCTTGACAATTTTAAGGCATGTGGACTTCAACTCCCAGAATTCCACAGCCAGCATTGCTGGCTGTGGAATTCTGGGAGTTGAAGTCCACATGCCTTAAAATTGTCAAGGTTGAGAAACACTGTGCTAGATAAACTTAGATGAATGGCTGGGGATGCTGCAGAAGCCAGTCTCTGAGTGCAAAGGCTATTCACAGAGAATTCTGTGACTCATGTAGTTTTGTCCATCACCAACAGTTCAGCAAAGTCATCCATACACAGTTAAGTGTTCGTGATCACCCTGGAAGTGGTAACTTATCATCTGAGAACCTGCAGTTTAATGGACTGCCTAGAATTAATTTAATATTTTCTATCAGGATGTCCTCTTGTGCTGGAGGTGACAACTAACTGAAAAGGTCAGCAAAGGATGAAAAATACAGAGAGCCAGACTGACCCTCCTCACATTATTTTCAATCAGAATACCAAAACACTTTAGGTCAGATGACTGCAACTTACTTCCTCTTGCTAAATCTGTATCTACTAAACTTTGAACTTCAAAGATGACCATTAGATGGTTATGGTTATCATAAAGTTCAAGTTTTCTGTACCTCTTCACTTGGCTAATAGGCTTGTTCTGAATCTGCTATTTCATATAATTTAAATCCAGAAGAGTTTTTTTTTTTTTTCAGTTTTAGTTTTGTAACTGTATCTATACCATCATCTCACTGATGCAATCACATCATCTGGAAGAATATTTTCTCTCCCTTCCCCAAATGCTCCAGAAAGATTATGGTCTGAAATCTAAAGACAGCATAGATGATAATGGAAAACTCCATTGCACAATAATAACCCAACAGCTGAATTGACATGAAGCCTGAACATTCTTAATTAAATTCTAGTAAGATGGCTCACATTACATTATGAAAGATCAAACCTTCAGGAAACTAAAGACATGTATAAATTTGTCAATATCACCTTAATATAGTTAATATTAACACAGCGTATCACAAGCAAAGCAGTTAATTATTTTAAAAAGATATAGGAAAGCTGATATTACTTACCATCAAGTAATTCTAAAGTTACAGAAGCATCTACATATTCCCACCAATGTTTTCCATCAGTTGATACAGGGATTTCCCAGTTAGACCACTTGCATGCCAAATGTATACATACACATGCTATCACAGTTGGCTTGTACTGAAGACAAAATGTAGTAAGGTGTAGACTATGGTTGGGAATGTTTCATAATGGAGGAACAAGTGCCAATCATGGAAAAGACAAAAAAACAAAAGGAGAGAATTTGTCAACATATATTCAAGGCAATTGTTGTGGGCTGTAAACATTTTTTGAAGTTTAAAATTTTGGACTTTATAAAAATCTAAGATACGTAACAGAATTTAGTGCTTCTTGTGCTAAACACATGGAAATATTCTGTTTTACATCTAAAACATATATCTCAATATTTAAAAAGCCAAAATATTAATGCATATAACATTTTTGCAAAAATCAGGTCATCTAGATTTTACTGCATCGTTGTTGATGTTTTATTTTGAAAGTTACTGAGGTAATAAATAAGCTAACGAGTAAGGAAAAACCATTTTTTTCTCTTCAGATCTACCCTGGAAATACAGCATGTATTAATTGCTATTGTTTAAGAAATAATGAATTTATGCCAATTTTATATTCTAAAACAGCCTTGAAAAAGGTTAGTTAGAATAGCAACTATATATCAACCCCAGTGAATTTCTTTTGCCCAAATTATGTGTATATGTACGTATCTGTTCATGCATTTTTACATAATAATATTAATCTTATTCTTTAAATAATATCTGTCATTCCAAGCATTCCAAACATAGCTCTGGAGAAGTCACCATGATTTTCCACCTTTCAGTCACACAACTACTATAACTTCTTAAGATAATCCGGTGACAGTTAACACTGGATCCACACTTTCATTCACCCCAATTACTTTAATGAAGTTTGCTGATTTCCCCACCCCCCTTTTTTATTAAGGTTAATATCTGAACTGAATCCTAAGTTCCTAGGATATTGCATCTTCCCCTCCCCCCAGGTTGTTTTTCTTGTAATTTTCCAGATGAAATTCTTCATCCCATTTTAATTTCTGCTACATACATGCTAGTCCACTACTAGCTCTCTTTGGTTTTCTTGTTTCATTGTCTCAAGACTGAAACACTAAGTTAGAAACGCCACTATTTCCCAATTCTTAAAAATCTTTTACCCACAAAATTATCAAACGTATTGCTACGTGTTTTATGCTGTGCTTCTTAGCATCAAATAGCTGCCTTGCTCGGCCTTTCTCTTCTTATAGGTTTACCAAAGTTACGTTGACTTTCACTGGTATTTTTTTTTTTTTTTAATTCGAGTCTGAAGACTCACTGGGCAGCATCTGCCCAGTTAAGAAGTAAATAGGGCTTTAAAAAAAAAAAGACAATAACTACATTACAGAACCAGATAGCTTCTGCAACGAGAAATATTTAAGCTGGTTCTAATGTATCTAAGAAGGTATTTTAACTAATGCCTTAATTTCATTTTTTTTTTAAAAAACAAACTTGATATTTTTATTAAGAAAAAAAAATGCCATTAACTACAAGGGTAAACTAGAAACAGCTTTGTACTTACCAAGAAGCTCGGATTTCTAGGTTAAGTTTATCTCTCTGTAATCTTTAGCTGCTATTCAGGCTACCAATTTTAGACTTATGCACTCACAATCGCGAAAATGCCACCAGAAAGCACCACTACACTTCACATTGTGCATTTAACCCCTTTGTGCCGTTAGGCCCTTGTACAATACACCGCACTGCAAACAGGAAGGTACCACCACAGTAGACAGCCCAGTCGCCTGTTGCAACAAGGGTTAGACACAGGTAGGGGGCCCTGCAGTAAAGGAAGCTATAGTGTGCTACAACAGTGCAACAAAGAGGTTCAGGATAACAACCTGTTGGTAGCCATGAAATAGGATGTCTGTGCCAAATCCTTGCTTGCTGTAAGAGAGAAAAATAATTAGCCATCAGTAACTATGATTTTATTATTAAAATGCCATGTGTGTGATGCTCAAAAGCATCCCACTTGCAAAATAACAACAACCACCCAATTCTGCACAACATTTTCACCCTTCCTCAGGAAAACTAATTGCTTCTTTATAACTGAGGTCAAAAGTACATATTCTCTCTTATCTCACATTGCGGCTAAGACAAATTACATCTGTTTCTGGTAAATCCACTAAAGTGGAATATTTGCCTAATTTCAGGCTGTCGTGTCAATTGTGTCATTGCTTATATTATTCAACCCACAGAACAAGCGTTGCCCATAAGGAACGAAGTGTAAACCGTCCATTCAATGGAAGATTCCCCTTTTGCTTTCAAAGAACGTTTTCTGCCACAGTGGTGGGGGAAGTGCCCTTGTGCATTCAGTGGATATTGAAATACAACATAAAAGTCAGGATTATACACGCCGATCTTTCGATGCCTTACTTCTACTGGAGCAAACAGTCTCACAAAAGGCTACATTTTGGGATGTTCCAGTTCAAATTCAATCTGAAGTGTACTTTAATGTAATTAACTTCAAATGTTAAGTTAACTCTGAATTATATTTAATGTAAAAAGGATTCCCCCCCCCCCGCCTAGAGAAGCAATAAGGATAATGTTGCAAACAGATTTCTACTTAGGCCAGGATTAGGCAACCTTGGCTCTTTTATGACTCGTGGACTTCAACTCCCAGAATTCTGGGAGTTGAAGTCCACAAGTTATAAAAGAGCCAAGGTTGCCTACCCCCAAGTTAGGCAATGAAAATACACTTCTCTTTGTCCTTTCTAAAGATCCCGCTCCATTGCCTGAGTTTTGAGTGACCAGGGCAGGCCTCAAGCAGGTGGAGGGAAGGACTGATGGAATAACTAGTTAGGCAAACATAATAGTTTGTTCCTCGTGAATTCTGTGCATACTAAAAAATAATGTGAATATTTTATATGTACCTTTTACAGGCAGTCCTTGACTTACAAGCACAACTGAATTCAGAATTTATGTTGCTAAGAGAATGTTAAATGAATTCTACCCCACTTTATTGACCTTTCTTGCCAGAGTTGTTAAGTGAAATCACGGTAATTGTTAACTTAGTAATAACATGGTTGTTAAGTGAATCTGGCTTCCCCGTTGACTTTGTTTTGTCAGTAGGTCGCAAAAAGTGATCACATGACCTGAGGACACGGCAACCGTCATAAATATGAGTCAGTTGTCAAGCGTCTGAATTTTGATTGTGTGATTTTGGAGATTCTACAATGGCGGTGAGTGTGAAGAACAATCCTAAGTCACATTTTCAGTGAGGTTGCAACTTCGTACGATCACTAAATGAACTGCTGTTTAAGTCAAGGACTGACTACCTGTGTATTCTTTTTCTTAAAAACATTTAATATGGGTAATTGGTAAAATTTCAGAGAAAATTAAATAAACTTGAAAAGTGACCTTAAATGCTTGTCAAATTAAAAACATGTCAAAGTATTAAGCAACCATAAAAAAGGGGGCCAAAAAAAGTCCTTAGGCAAGGTAAGGATCTACAAGTCTAGAAATCTTAAGCTATGGTTAGGTCAGAAATAATAGTAACAATAATTGATGTGTCATTGAACAGTTCAAGAGTTTTATATTTCCCTTCATGAAGCCTAGAAGAGAGCTTCTACTTCAGATATTAATACACTTGAAAGATAATACATTATAGCTCTTAAATGATCTGGATTTAAACCATTTATGTCTGTGTAAGATAATAACCAATATTTTATACTGGGTTTTGGAAATTTTACAATATGAAAATCACATGAATTTAAGATTATGTTGTTTTAAAAGAGCCATGGTGGCGCAGTGGTTAGAATGCAGTATTGCAGGCTCACTCTGCCCAGAGCCAGGAGTTCGATCCTCAACAGCTCATGTTTGACTCAGTCTTCCATCCTTGGCCAAAGTTGGTAAAATGAGGACCCAGATTATTAGGGGCAATATATGCCGACTCTGTAAGCCACTCAGTGAGGGCAGTAAAGCACTATGGAATGGTATATAAGTCTAAGTGCTGTTACTATTATTTATTTATTCAATTTTTATTTTGCCCATCTCCCCTATAAGGTGACTTTTATAAAGAATAAACAATGAACAGTTGTGCCGGCAGAAGGGACATGCTATAGACCAGACATGTCAAACTTGCAACGTCATGTATCGGGACTGTTTTGCTATTGCCAGCAATGGGGTGGGCGCGGCTTCCGCGTGACGTTTTGGCCCATGGGCCGGCAGTTTCACACCCCTACTATAGACTCTGTCAGCCAGGCCCAGAAGAAGAGACTTTTCTACAGCAACATAGGACTCCTTGAGGTAAGGTAAAACCTTAACATCTGGTTCTGGCAGTTGGCCTGGAGTCCAAATGGGAAGTGTTTTCCTGGTAGTTATAAGGTTAAATCCAAGTTCCCACCTCCCTACTCCATTGTACGACTTTCCCATCTTAGTTGCTCTTCTGTTAATTCTTAATCTTTTATATTTTATCAGATTGTAAGCTGCTCAGAACTGTGTGATTGTAAGATGGGTGGCAAATAAATTTAATAAAATAAATACATTGGATTTACAATTGAAAGAAATATTAATGGTTGCTAATGTCCACTGAACTTAGTTACATTTGATTGTGAATTTTCATTTTCTCTTAAACAGGACATTCAACAATAGTATGGAAAAAGCACTACATGTCATTTCAAAGTGCTACAAATTATACTCACAATTTGCTTACGAAAACTATAAACTGCCTCAAACATGACCAAATTCTATATGGATCTTTTTGGAAGAATTCAAGGTCAAAAGACTAAAAATACTTTATAAAAAGACTGGATAATTAAAGCAGACTGTTTCAAATTCAAAACAGAGTGTTTCACTCAACATATGTAACATTTCACAGTATCTATCCTACTCTTTTTAGATTCTTTATTCCAGTTATTCTCCTCCATTAATACCAAAACAGTCACAAGGAATCAGCATAACATGAGAATGGTTAGAATACCATCAATTGCATTTCAAGGCCAAGCTTGGGTATAGAGAAAAGCAAAAGGGCAGGTGAACACCTGTAGACCTGTAGATAATCCTATGATTATCTGGCAATATGTCCCATTATATTCAGTAGGAGCCATCACTGGGTTATTAAAATGAAATCACCATAGTTTAAAGATTTTCCATGGCATGGTGTATTATTAAAAAAATGTGTATTAGCCATGTTCAGAAATGGAAATCTACCAATGCTCAGCTCATATTAGTGCAGTGAAAGATTTTATATTCACATTTACTTGAAAACCCCCATTAAAAATTATGCTTTTTTATGGGGGTTATGTAAACAAAATAAAAGTCTTGGCTAGGCAGCATTGGAAGATTTAACTTATCATATGCTTCTGAAGGGGGATCAGTGTGAAAATAAATATAAAATATGCATTACATTTTTCTTTCTTTCTTTTTTGGAATTGTCTCTTTTCTCAAAGTTTAAAGATTATTTTGTTGATGTATAAAATTAAAAAAATAGCAAAGGGAAAAAAGCACCATCCTTTTCCCTTCAGTAAAAGCAACTGATGAACAAGATTTCTTAAAACTTGAAATGAGACTGTGTTAAATGCTTTTATAAATCCCCTTACACAAAAGCAGTGGGTATCTTTTCTCTCTCAAAATTCTCTTAAAGTTATCAATACACAAGCTGCTTTTTAAAAAGAGCTTTCTTGCAAATGACTATGCCATTTATTTCAAATTAAGGACAGATTTGACAGTTTAGTTGAACCTATTCAGATAGATTTTCAAAATCAGTAATAGAAACATCAGTGAATTCTTACTGTATTTCTAAATAAGATCAAAATAAGATAGGTGCTTATTTCAACCTCTGAGAAAATATTCACAAAATAATATCTACTATACAATAAGAACAAGCATAAATCAGTGCTGCCACCATCCAGCATTAATTTACACAAAGCTGCAGTCCTCTAATGCAGATATCACTTGAACATATGTGAGTGTGATAAGACACTAAGGATAGATAACTTTTTTATTCACCTTGTTTGTTGCTATGTAGAAAATTTATTACTGGAATTGTTTGCAACTGTACTTTTTTTTTTCTTAAGAATGATTAACATTCAAATGAACGATCAATCAAAAAATGGCTATTTTTAAACATACAAATATTTAGAGCAATTAATACATTTTGTTGACCCTGGATTAACTGGCTGACTTCATGCAGCATACCAAATTGCAAATCACAGTTTTAAAACTAAAGTGACTGCTTCATGTTTAATCGTTTGATATTAGGATCCTGGCCTCTGGGGGGAAAAAATGACCCTACCTGCATATTAGACCAGTATTTCTCATCTTTGACAATCTTAAAAAGTGTGGACTTCAACTCCCAGAATTTCTCAGCCAGCAGGTTGTCAAGGCTGAGAAACACTGAACTAGACATTAATCAAATCTAATTAAACTGAACAGAAAAAGAACCTAAACAGTGTTGTGAAAATGAAATTCAATACAAAAAAAATATATACAGTTGCAAACAATTCCAGTAATAAATTTTCTACACAGCAACAAACAAGGTGAATAAAAAAATGGGTTTGGAAGCGTATTTTCTTATCCCGTGGTATTAAATGAATGTTACGAAGGACTAAACAAAGACTAAAAAAAAATACAATCTCCAGAAACTGGTTGCCACAGTTGTCAGATATACCAGGATATCCATATGTGGGACATGGGCACAATGTGCAAGTTTACCTTGGTATCCTAAAGTTACTTTGGATTAAATATGCTTATTTCAGAACTATTTTGTCAATTTTGAGTTTTGTAACTTTAAAATTGAAAAAAAAATCACCTATGATTTATAATTCTTTTAAGCATACTTACTGAATCAAGTAAACCAAAACTTATTTGAAAACTCTAGTGCTTTAGTCACAAGAATAATATTCCGCAAATAATTTAGTAAGTCACACCATCTCAATATCTCGCAATGGAAAAAAAGAATTTAAATAGTTACTGACCTCTCACTAACTGGGTACATTTCACAACATCTGTATGTGGATGCTCAATGGTAATCTCAAAACCTGAAAAAATAAATGTGTTATTTTACAAACTACATTACATGTTCTCATACATTTTATTCAATAATCTCATTACGTTTCAAAATATACATCGATTGTATTGAATACTTTCTGAACTAATAAAAAATGTACAATATGCTAGTATAATTCTGAAAGGAGAGACATAAATATATATTTAAAAAGAGAGCTTATGTTACCAAGGTTCTTCTTAAACATATTAAATGAATAAGCGCTCCACTATTGGAAGTACAGTGTAAGAATCATATGCATTTACCATGCTTACCTAAAGTTTGAAGCATTATTGTTTCAAGTATAACCAATTCCTGGGCCTGCTGAAGATATGCCTAAAAATTGGGAAACATATTCTGAAATATTAATATAATTTTAACATGTTTTAACATGTTAATAGCACCGAGATTGATTAAAAAAAAAAACCCCGAGGGGCTTATTGTAGGTACATTATTTGATCAGGTCACAAAAACTGAGGCAGATAAAAATCACAAGGACAGACAACAGAATAGTTTTAATTCAAACAATTTTTTTTCTTCCAAATAGGTACAAGTAGTCCTCAACTTACCAACACAATTGGGACTGGAATTCCTGTTGCTAAATAATGCGGTTGTAAAATGCTATGTCACGGGATTGCATCACTTAGTGATGGCAATCCAGTGCTAGCTGTTGTAATTCCAGACACATGGATCGTTAAATGGGATGTAGAGAAGTCCCAAGTAAAGAACGCTGGGATGTTGCAGGGAATGGGGAAGGCATTGGGGGGGGGGGTCCAAGCTCAGGTCTCACATGAGGTGGGGGAAGGGAGTGTTGTGATGCTGCACAAGGTCAGCAAAGTTAGGGAAAGAATATGCTGCAGCTCAGTGTTATTTTGGCACACTGTGTGTCTGGGGATCCAAAAAGCCCGAGTTGTAGTAGCCACCCCTGGAAGCCTTAGTTGCACAGTGCAAAGGGACTTCTTGGTGGTTGAGGCTACAAAAAGTCCCCAAGCTGCACTATAGCGCAAAGCAGTCACCACGCAGGAAGCCCCGACAGTGTGATGCCCTAGAAAGCCCCAACTGAGCTGCACGGCACTCTGAGATTCCTGTCACCTACCATAATTTCAAATATTACTTTCCAACTTTATTTTAGCCCGATGGGATGAAGAAGAGTTTAGGGTTCACAACATTTCCTACTATACTTTCTGCTGCTTCCCTCATTGTATGACAACCATGACAACTCATTCTTCTTCAGGTATTACAGAGGAATAGAAAAATATTCCAACCATTATTATTACTATTACTTTCCGTGTTGCTTTGCAAGTACACTGAGTGCTTCTGTACTGGAAATAAATTCCTTGTGTTTAATCACATTCAGCTAAATGAAGTATTCATTTCCGGGGAAGCAATGCCAAAATGCTCCATGAAAGCAGAGATCCCAAAATTCTTCTTTGGATGAAGGGGAATACTTGGGATTTCCCATAGTTGTCCATACAGATGCTCCCCATGATGAGACTGTAAAACAGCAGTCTTCATTGGGTTTCAGTTATGGGAGCTAGAAGAATCAGTTCAAAGCCATAGTTCAAAGCCATAGTTCAAAGCCTTCAAATGGACCCTGGATTCAACCATCTCCTTTCTTAATCACTTTCACTGGGAATGGTTTGTAAACTGATTTTTAGATGTTAAGAACTTTCAGAAAGACAGGTTTTACCACATTGGGTGATTTCCTTCAATCCTCAGCGAAAGAAGTTTCATCTAAGTTTAAAACTTAAAAAAATGTTTTTTATTTGGAAACAAACAACAAAAGAGTGATTGGAATGTTAATTCTGGAAAGCTTTTACTTGAAAGATTAACTTGAAATAGGATTTTGAAATAATTTTAAAAATACTTTCTGTAGTTTGTTTAAAATCCTATTAAAAAGGTATGAAGATTCTGAATTTAAGAATAAGAAATGTTTCCCTGGGAAAATGTTATGGATTAGAGACTGTAGAAAGAGTACAGAGAAGAGCAACAAAGTTGATTAGGGGACTGGAGGCTAAAACATATGAGGAACGGTTCCTGGAATTGGGTATGTCTAGTTTAATGAAGAGAAGGACAAGGGGGGGCATGATAGCAGTGTTCCAATATCCCAGGGGCTGCCACAAAGAAGAGAGAATCAAGCTATTCTCCAAAGCGCCTGAAGGCAGGACAAGAAGCAACAGATGGAAACTAATCAAGGAGAGAACTAAGGAGAAACTTCCTGACAGTTAGAACAATTAACGAGTGGAACAACCTGCCTCCAGAAATGGTGAATGTTCCAACACTGGAAGTTTTTAAGAAGAAACTGGACAGCCATTTGTCCGAAATGGTGTAGGGTTACCTGCCTGAGCAGGGGATTGGATTAGATGACCTCCAAGGTCCCTTTCAACTTTATTATTATTATTATCATTATTATTATTAGAGAAGACCTTGAAGGCTGGTTAGTAGAAGCAACCAAAAAAATCTAAATCTTACAATTAAAGGACAAAAACCACTAATACATAATGGAAAAAAAGGATTTCAACTCTGGAAGCATTCAAGGATATATTGCAACTATGCATCTAGAACTTTCTCTTAGGATTGTTTGATATTATAAAACGGGTTCAAAACAAAAGATGCAAAAGAATGCATGAGCCTTTGAATGAGAGAGTCAGGCTGTTTCGCATATGGATTTAAATTGGCAGGATACAAAACAAAGAGGCTGACAAAGATGCTATACAGGTCTTACAAATGAAACTGGCTGAAGTTTTAATAGCTGAAAGGTACACACAAATAATAAACAAAGAAAACGATTTGGATATGTGGATTTCAAATCAGAAAAGTAACTTGGATAACTTTCTTAGTTTTGGATTTGCATGATATGTGTTATAAGGAATTTCTGAGAAAAGATAAATCTGAAAGAAAAGAAATCAGCTTTTGGGATATTACTTAATAAATATCAATATATTTTGTTATATTTTTATAGAAAGTGATAAGTTCTGGTACTAAAATTTAGAGAAGATGAAGAGAAGGTGATAAAAAATTAATTTGTGGGACATTGAAGGAATTAAAGATTATAATTTTCAATGTTATTTCTAGCTCCTGATGGAATTTTTCTTAATTAACTTTGAATAATGAGGTTTTAAAGATTTGCTTATAGATATAAGACACGTGAAAAAGATTTTTTATTGCTGTATTTTAAGAGAAAAATAAGATACTGTAAAATAAAGGAGCACAAAATTAATTTACTTGTTTAAAGTTAAAATATATTGTTATTTCTTATACTGCTATTTCTAGTAGTTCTTAAAGGGCATTTGCTGAATAAGACTGAATGGTGAGGCTTAATTATTTGCTTCTAATAAGCCTTATGGGATAATGAGATTTTTGGTTGAAATGTTAGAAAAAATATTAAGTTACTGAAATTGCTTTTACTCATCCTGATAAAGAAGGAAGTCATTTCTTTTTTCACTTTTTATATATTTTTCTCCATTTCCTCCATTTTTTTTTCTCTGCACTTTTTACATTTTTCTCAGTTTGTATTAGTATTTTTCTTTTAAAATTTCAATAAAAATTATTCTGAAAAACACACAATGCTCTGAAGACTTTTCATTTTTTTTACAACTAATACACTTTAGTATTAATGTGGATTGACAGTAAACTAGAAGCAGAGAATAAAAACATTTCACTTTTTTTACAATTTCATAAGTTGTCACAGAAAATGTAAATGATAATTACTGTCTCATTTCAACAAGATTCCCCTTAGTAGATATTCCCCCCCCCAATGAAAACTATATTAAGTAATTTCCAGATGATTACTGCTAATAATTTTTAAGAATGGTAGAATGTTAAGCAGAAATGCATTACATTTGTATTTAAATTTCTCAAAAAGAAAAAACAGTAAACAAAAATATCTTTTGTTAATTAACAACGTAAGTGATAGCATGTAAACTCTCATTTGAAAAATAAAGCAATAGGCAAATTCCTCTCTGATTTATAGACTGAAATCAGATTAAATCTCTATGTAAACATACATCACACTTTGTGTCCAGCTGGGGCTCTAGAGGATGAAGGCAAGCATGTGCTACTTTGATAACGTGTTCAAGTTTCCGTGGTTGTTCTTCTACTTTCGCAGCCAAAAATAATGCAGTAGGAGAGATGATCTGTGTGTAGAAAATACACTCTGTTGAAAACATCATTACAGCATATCTTTTACAAGAGTTGTTACTACAGAGGCCACTAGGAGAAACTTAACTAAGTATAATAATACTGTCTTGTGAACATTGAGAATTATTTTATGTCTCATTTTGTCACTTAAAAATATTAGGCCAATTGTATTTTCTTCCAAATATTTTCAACAGAAGTGAAGAATCAAAAGGCCTACTTATTTTGGCTTGTGCCCAATGCAACACTGATTAGAACCATGCTGGCTTTATTTAGATTTTCAACATGTGAAGGGACAAAATTATTTTAACCTTCATCTTGTAACCAGTAAATTCATTTGTCCTCTGGGAGAAAAATGTCTAGTAAATGCCTAAATTTGGATTTTTAAATATTCCTTCTCAAACTCTCTCCAACTAATACCCACTCTTAATAGAAGACAATTGGATAAACTATGCAATTCTTGGTGCTCTGAGCTTGCTTGCTTGCTGACATTTCATTACTCAACTAGGTAACATAAACCATGTGGCAAGTTGGGCAATGAATATTTGCAAGCAACCAACCAAGCTCAGAGAGCGTGGAGACCACTCTTTCACTGGCTTACTCTTAAAAGTGAAGTATACTGTAGTGCAAATCAATCAATAGCTAGAGGTGGTAGCTATTATACCACCTCTAACCTACAGCTAGAAGTAGTATAATATCAATCCGTTGATTCTACTGGATTCCTTTTCAATTCTTTGGGATTATCTCTGAAGATCAGGGGACAGCCTTGAGAGAGATACTGTTGTATGTTTTCATGGCTAGCACCAATGAAGCAGTGATGAGCTTTTGGGCTGGGTGACTGTGGTCTAGTTTTCTTTTGCTCTGATGTTTTGCTAGCAGTTGTGCCAAGTTGCTAAGAGGTATATGACAAAGCAGTTCCCGCTACCTCTGCAGATGCCAGCCTGAGTTGCTGGAATAACATCAGAACAAAAGAAGACTAGACCTCAACTATCCAACCAAAACTCAGCACCGCTTCAGCCTTAAAAGATGTTTTCTCATCCCCAGCTCACAATAAATTCCTCAAATTAGAGTCATATGTGAATCTTCAGGCTGACTGAATTTACAAATTGTTTAAAAAAGTTGTCATCACCTAGTCTACACCTAACAGCAAATTGTAGGTCTTGGTTTTCAAAGCACAAGGATTGGTTTCACATAAAAAAACAACAACAACCTTATTATGATTTAATTCAGTAATTGTCAATCAGGCATCATGGACCATAACTAGACTAGGTGGGCTGCAAACTAATTTCAACTTTATGCATTTAAAATTTACCATGAATGAAATATAAAAAGTGCTTTGTTTTTTAAATAAAATTGTTTCTAAAATGGCTGGATCCAGGTTCTTTGACACACGGATTGAAAGGACTCAAGGTATGAAAAATTTGTAAATTTGTTTAATTCAACGTATGAATTTAGCTAAAGTAAACTGCTGCTATCATATGTTGTGAGCCACCAAGAATGTTTATAACTGCAGCTGAATATAAATGTGATAATTATTATGGTCTATTTCCTCAGCTATTTATAATGCATTTTATAGCGAGTTTCCTCCTGAAAATGGACAAGCAATTCCAGCTGGTACAGAATCTACAGACCGATTAGGTATATATGATTATTATTCATGAACTCTTTTTTATTATTTATCATTGATTTTATTCACTTATATTCTTCCTTTATTACTTTATAAGTAATTCAAGGCAATTAACATATCTAATGTTTTTCCTCCTATTTTCCCACATCAACAACCCTGTGAGGTAGGTTGGCTGACAGAGAGAGGGACTTGCCCAAAATCACCAAGCTGGCTTTTATGCCAAGGCCGGACTAAAACTCATAATCTCCCATGATGTTAAGGGAACATCTTAAACATCAAGTTGCCTGCAATTAAATTTTACTAAATTACATTAAAGTCTATTGTGTTTGTCTAAGAGAACATTCAGGAATATTTTGCTGTTGTTGTTAGACTAGTCCAGGGGTAGGCAACCCCCGGCTCTTTTATGACTTGTGGCCTTCAACTCCCAGAATTCCTGAGCTAGCCATGCTGACTCAGGAATTCTGAGAGTTGAAGTCCACAAGTCATAAAAGAGCCGAGGTTGCCTACCCCTGGACTAGACACTTAGAAAATACCTTCAGGGCGAAGTGGATCTATTTCAGAAAAGCACGCTACACTGAGATTATCATTACGAAGGTATCTGAAGTTTGGGCTGAACTAAAGCCTCTATCTTTTCACTGCTAACCTGGTGACTTCTGGAAATGCTAATATGGCTCATTTTTAGTGGACTTAATAAGCAGTGTCCCATGAGAAAACAACTCCATTTAAGTTCATGACGCTGAATAAATGATGCCCAAAATCAGGTTGTTCCCTTTTTAATTTTGTGCAAAAGTACATTTGAGTTAGTCTTTAGTTTCTTTCTGAAACATATGGATGGAATATTCTGTTATTTCCATAGCATCGACACAAGTTGAATATAGATATTAAATCTTTTATTTCATTGGTTTGGGATCTGGATTTCTGATTAACCTGTTTTTTTGTTCCCAGGGAGTACATGTTGTCACCAAGCATATGGCTACTGGTTTCTACAGTCTGTAGTTCTCGGTTTACCAAAGACAACATGATTTAGTGATTAGATATATTAAAAAGCTATTAACCCATACTGATCTATCTTGTTTGTCCATTATGTGTATTAGCAAATTGTAATTCTGATAAAAAACAAATCTTTAAAAAAACTCCTCTGGGAAACTGTCCAGAACACATTCTTTCTTATCACAAAGAAGGTATTATAACTAGCTTATATTACAAGACTAACATATCCCCCAAGTTTCTAAACCCTGCAAATCACAGGATAATATTTCAAAAGCCACTTCGTTACATGTTATGTCAAGTTCAGATATACTTACATTTCTATTGAATTTTGTGAATGAATGGTGCATATAAAACCTGTGCATATAAACAATTGCGGTGTTTATTGTAAGTTGAGATCTTAAACTGTGTCAAGGAAATATTACATACGCATCCCCTATTTTAATTATTTTATGTTTTTCTAATGTACATGGCCAGAGACCCTTGTTGAGTTGGGTGGCTATAGAAATACAAATAAATAAAGCTTGCATTCAACTACTCTGTAAAAAGGTTACGATTTTTTTCAAGTTATTGATTCAAATATAACTTTCATGGGACTGAAGGAGTTTGTTAAGATAAATCTCCCTAAACACAAGAGTGCTATCTGCAAAAGTCTTCTGGTCAACAAGGACAGAGATTCCCAGCCCCTGGGCCGTGGCTCGCTAGTGGGGTGTAGGCCACTCAGAACAGGCCTGTGCGGGTAGCACCTGCTGCTTGTGCCAATGGAGCTGCAAGCATGCATCTACATCCGTACAGAACCATCCCCTCTTCCCCTCCTACCGAGCCGCAAAGATGGAAAGGTTGGGGACCGCTGAACTAGCTAAAGTTTGGACAAAAAAAAAAAAAAGACAGCAATCTTCCTCATTGTTGCCTCAGGTAGAGGCCTTATGCCCACAGAAAATCTGCTTTGAGGTTTGGGAGGGAACTTCCAAAATGCTGTATACAATATTATGCAAACATTACAGTATTCCTCGTCTACAGTAAGAACATTCTGAGAGGAACTCTATGCTGCCCACACTGGCAAAATAAAAGCTGGATCCAATTTAATGGTTATATTTAGTCATACAAGTAAAATCTGTCTTCTATGCACCAACTGAAAAATTCATTTAGAGAGTGGTGGCGAACCTATGGCACTCTGTGGGCACACATGCCGTTGCCCCAGCCTTGCCTCCCCCTGCGACCCCCTCCTCTCCAGAATCCCCCCTGAAGGAGAGTCGCCCCCGAGCATGGTCCACACGGAGCAGTGCAGCCAAGGACATGGCAGCCAGGCAGCGTAGACAAGACTCTGCACTCACACCCCACCATGCAATTGATGCTGCAGGGCGTGGGCAGAGGGTATGGCCACCATAGAGCTGCTGGGCTGCCTGGGCGATCTGCGGCGGGCCCTGGAGGTGGTGAGTGGTCCCGTGGGCAGGCGGGGCAGGGGGGCCAGGGCAGGGGGGTGGAGCGGGGGCGGGGCCAGTTTTTGGGCACTCGGTCTCTAAAAGGTTCGCCATCACTGATTTACAGAATAAAAAGGTGTCCAAGAAATTCTTGAAATAAGTAATGGAAAGTTACATTGGTGATACAATTGTAGAAAATCAGGCTACAACAGGAAAGCAACCTCGGGGTTGGATTAGGCCCTCCCTTCAAGCACTTTCAGTTCTTAGCCACCTATGCCTGGAGATGAACAGGACCGGAAAAGTTGCTGCCACCATGCCTTTATTATAAACCAGATTCATCCTTCCACACTAGTCCTCAGGTAAAGCAGGAGAGGACTTAAGGGGAAAACCTCACCATATCTTGGGTTTGGTTAAACTACCAAAAGGGAAAAACAAATGAAATTTCAGGGAATTAATAGTTCAGCCAAGCTGAGGTGGGCCAGGCAGACAACTCCAGGATTCAACTATAAATCCACTTTATTATAGGTGCCAAAAGAAGATAAGATTCCACAGGTACTAGACACAGTCAAATATTTAAAGCCCTAATTCTAATACAATTCTAGCTGCAGCCAAACCATTCAATTTCCAATCATTGTCTGAGTAAGTCCAGCCAACTCTCTCAAAAGGCACTAGTCCTTTTCCTACTGAAAACCTGACAGAACTCCCATTTCCTTTATTGGCTTTTAGGGATCAGGCAACTCCCTCTGGGCAGATAAGGCTGGTTTGTGATTTAAAGGGCCAGCTGCTCTCCACTAAAAGGCAGATGCAGTTTGTGCTAATGTTACATACTAAAACACTACTAATATTTTTTAGAAAATTATTTTTTCAGTAGTACCATTTTCAAAGACATTATTCTATAACCTGAGTTTTAGAACTTAGGTTGTAGAATAATGTCTTTGAAGATGGCACTATTGAAAAAATAATTTTCTAACAAATGTTTAGTTTAGTTTAAGAACTCAGGTTATTTCACTTCAAAGGCTAACAACTTCAGTGTCTGTTACAAAAAGTTGGCTTTTAAAATTCAGCATTCATGCTAAGTCAAGATGTGGCTCAGAAGTAATCTTCTGCAAACATCTTCTGTACCAGAAACTAAAATAACTATAGAAACTATCATCAAAATTATAAAAGCTAGAACATGTGTTAACTTTAAACATTAAGAATTCACAATGTTTATTGAAATAAGTCCATTCTCTTTTTCAGTTGTTACTACTTTCACAGATTTCACAAACAATATGTGAATTGTCAAATAACAAGTTTATTTCTAAAAATGCTCTAATGGATCTGCACTGTGCATTTTTGCATTACATGACCCGTAAGAACTCCGATTCTATGAAATAAGAAACCTCTCAAGTTGAAGCAACTTTGATGATTTCATGGATACATCCATGCAATTTTCTTGGCAGCAATATGAAAGTGGTTTGTCACTGCCTTCTGCTGGGAATTTATTACTTGCTAATCTAGAATAGTACTCTGGATTTTCTGGCAGAGTTTCATCCAAGTAATAACCAGATCCTAATCTGCTTAACCTTTTGAGATAAGCTTACTAGAGTCAACTGGATTGAAATGGACATCTATAGAAATTGAATAAAAAATCAGTAGTGGGATTACTTTTATGATAAACAGCAGCTATCAGCTAATACTTCTTTCAGCAAAATGTTGATCTACATTAGATTTGATAATAGCTCAGAAAGTACTCTGATATCATTACATTTCCTTAAATATGTTCTGGTATTTGGTCTGCATTCAGAACTACAGAAGTTACCATAGCTTACTTCAAACTCCTGAAAAACTGTTGAGAATACCAGAGAGGCTGTTTTCAATCTCATTACTCTAAAATATCAAAAGTTCTACTTAATAACCTTATTTATATGACATTTAACTTCCCTAGATTGTTTTACTCTTATTTAAAACATTTTACTCTTATTCAGAACATTTCCCATTTTTTAAAAAAAATCCTGGATGAAATTTCTTTTCCACCGATTACACTAAATGTCTAAAAACGGTATTTGCCAGTGAGTGGGGGAAAAAAACTGCCGTCTATTCCTTACTCTAGTCATCAAACTTTTACTCACCACATGAAGAAAAAGCTTGACTGATATATAGGGCATTTGGGGGAAACTTCGTTTAACCAACAAGATGTATTAATATAGTCCCTATGAAATCGCAATAAAAAAACCACCAGCAGCAACCGGTTGAAAAAGAAATAAAATACTGACGGAACAAGTCTGAGATTACCGAAACCGTGTTTAGCAGCCATTATATACAACCACGATCCTTTGCAATCAATCGTAAAAGCACTTTGCTACAACGCCAGCCCATGCAAGCGAGAGAGTGGGGCTAAACTAGATAACTCGCGTGTCTGCGTGGAAAACTTATTAAAACCACCCCGGAGCACAAGGGAGGCAAACAGGCGCCGAGCTCGGCCTCGCTTTTTCTCCTCGACTCCCGGGGGAGCCTGTGGCGCCTTCCCGACTCTCCCCCTGCAGACAGGAGCGCAGGCCGAGGGGTGGAGCCACAGCAGGCGAGGCCTCCCAGGCTCGCCATCACGCCGGCCTTCCGAAAGACCCGGGACCGGGCGTTACCCCGAAAGGCTCCCTTCCGAACACCCTCACCTGCTGACTCATTCCCGGCCCCGGCCCCGGCCTCCTCTTTGCCCGTCCCCAAGCCCAACGCCCGCCGTTTAAGGATACACGTTGAGGCGCTGGCCCATATCCTGGATGAGATTGGCCGCCTGCTGCCGGTAAGAGAGCTCTTTGTCGGCCTCGACGCCGCAGTGGCGCGACGGCGTGTTCTCCAACCGCTCCCGGCTGAAAAACCAGCGCGAACTTCCTAGGCCGCCTCCGCCAGGTCCGCGCGACCCCGAACTCGCGCCAGGTCCGGAACCCAACGCCGCCGCCATGACACTTCCTCCTCCTCCCGAAGCAGCACCCGCCGCCGGCGCGCCCGACTCCTCCTCTTCCATCGCGGCATGTCTCGCGAGAATTCAGACAAAGCGCGGCGAAACCGGCTCTCTGCAGTACTCTGGCTTTAATAAATCATAGAGTTGCAAGCTGGGGGGTTGGAGCGAAAGGAAAGGCTGGCGAAAGACTACCGTAGTGCAGTTTTAAAATAGTGCCCCTATCGACTCGGAGGACGTTCCCCCAACACTGTTTTTTTTCCCCTCCATTAGAGGCTGCGCCGAAGGTTGTTCTTAGACTGTTTATCAGTATACTAGAAACTCGAGAAACGGGAACTCGGTTGCTTCGTGCATACAGAAGAAGAGTCCCGATTTCTTCGGAATTTTTGTTCTCGCCATAGATTTTTCCCGGGTCAAAAATAATAGTCCATTAAAAAAGGTGTTATTACTGAATGGTTGCGAGTCCACTAGGCCATAATAGTAAATAGCGGACTTCTTAGCTTTGGTCTATGTGCACGGTGCATTTTAGTAGCATTAAAATATTTAAATGTCTTGCTGAAGACAGCGTAATTCAGTATTAACAGAAAGGGATCCCAGTTTAATTTAACCTATCTCATTTGTTTCTTGCTAAGGTGCTTCTGTTGAAAAACCATCTCCCTGTAACTTGCACTAGATTATCTTTCAAACTAATGGTAAAATGTCCCTCTCATTCATCACCCTATTATAGATTTTGTCTTACATAGAATATCCTTGTGGGTATTTTTCATTTCAACTGCTTTGTAAAACTCTCTAAATTCAAAAGTCCCATAATGCTGTGGGAAGTCAGCCCCCCAGAGAAGGAAATATTAAAAGGCTGAAACATATTTTTTCTCAAAGGATCTTAAAGAGACAGAAAAGCAGGCCCAGTTTTTCTTAAGGGCATACCCAAACTCAGGTCAGATTACATGACACAGAAAATAGCCTCAAAACAGGGACAGGAAATAACTCCAAAACAAACAAACAAACAAAAGGCTCTAGAGCAGTGATGGCAAACCTTTTAGAGCCCAAACTGCAACCCAAAACCCACTTATTTATTGCCGGGTGCCAGGTGGGTGTGGCCCACTGGGTGGGCGTGGCTGTGGTGGTCATGGTAGACTGGGTGGGTGTGGCCAAGGTTGGCATGGTCACCTCAATGTTGCTTGTGGGGAGAGATGCCTGTGGGGGCTGGGCAGGGTTGGGGGAGATCCAGGGAGTCTCTGGCAGGTGGGGCGGTGGGCAGGAGGCTTGTCCTGTGGGGTGAGGCGAGGCAAGGCGAGGCAGGGTGGGGGCGCCATTGTCACACGGCAAGGCGAGACAGGGGCCTGGGCAGCTACTGCCTGACACCATTGGACCCTGCACATAGAGGCCAGCGAGCGCATGGAGGTCGACAGTGTCCATCAGCAGCTACAGCCTATCGACCCCTCAACCGGCATACTCTGGGGCTCTGCAGCCCACCGCCAGCAGTTCAGAGACGCCTCCTCTGAACTGGACAGATAGCCAACAGCTGAGCAGGCGATGTAGTGGGTCGTGCCTGGGAAAAGGAGAGCATAAAGGCAGGAGGGATGGAACGGAGGGGAGAGAAACCAGCTATGCTGGGATGTATCCGGCCACGTGGGACCTCGGTGAGTTAGCGAGCGGCTGGTTGCCATCTCCGGGGTATGACATGCGTGCCCACAGAGAGCGCTCTGAGTGCCGCCTCTGGCACGTGTGCCATAGGTTCGCCACCACTGCTATAGAGCGTATAAAAATCCACTTCCTACATATGCTCAGTCCTTTTTTCACTTCTCTTGCTGTCAGAACCATCTTCCTGTCTGGCTCTCTTCTCCAATAAACTACAACCTTCTTCCCAATGCAGTTGCCATGTTTATTCCCAGCTTGGATGAACCATGATGAAGACTTTTCTTCCAACAATGCCAAATGAAATGTCATGACTTGGGGAAAATGTTCTAACATTGATTCTCAGAAAAATGCTGGACCTGGATATGTCTCCATTGTTTTGAACGGACATGGAAAGGCAAAGCAAGCACATGTATCCCTAAAGGAATCTGTAAGTCAGCCATTTGGATAAAAAGAGATACAGGTAGTCCTCAACTCATGACTTCAATTGAACCCAAAAATTCTGTTGCTAAATGAGAAAGTTGTGGCTTTCCCCCCATTTTACGACATTACTTGCCACAGTTGTTGAGTGAATCACTGCAGTTGTTAAATTAGTAACACGCCTGTTAAGTGAATCTGGCTTTCCCATTGACTTTGGTTCTCAGAAGGTCTCAAAAGATGATCATTTGACCCTGAGACACTGCAACTGACATAAATGAGAACTAGTTGCCAAGCATCCGAATTTTGATCATGTGAGCATGGGGATGCTGTGATGAATGTGTGAAAAACTGTCATAAGCCACTTTTATCAGTGCTATTGTAACTTTGAATGGTCATTAAATGAACCATTATAAGTCTCGAAGACTACCTGTAGTCCCCTATGTACAACTATTCTTTTAGGACCGTTCAAAGTTACAACAGCACTGAAAAAAAGTGATTTATGACCAGTTTTCATATGACCATTGCAGCCTCACCATGGTCATGTGATCAGATTTCGGATGCTTGGCAACTGGTTCATATTTATGACGGTTGCAGTGTCCCAGGGTCATGTGATCACCCATTGATAAGCAAAGTCAGAGGGGAAGGCAGATTCACCATGTTATTACTAGCTTAAAAACTTACATGATTCCCTTAAGAACTGTGGCAAGAAAGGGCGCAAAATAGGACAAAGTCACCTAATAACTGCTTAGCAACAGAAATTCTGGGCTCAATTGTGGTCATAAGTTGGAGAGTACTTAAACAGTCTTGCCTGATTTGGGGAGGTGCATGACAGAGAGAGAAAGGAAAGGGGAAATGATATTTGGTCAGAGGTGAGCTTGAGATATAAACTTTCAGGTCTTCAATAATTTATGGAGCACTTACTACGGGGTCCTGTTTGCCCAGTTTGAGGCCAATCCACTACAGCAAATATTTCTCAGGTTGTGGGGAAAATAAGAGGAGGAAGGTATGTTGGAAATGTTTACCAAGTTGAGTTATTTTTAAAATTAAAAAAGCAGGATACAAATAAATAAACCCTCCAACTCTTTGTGTAACAGTGTAACCTTTGTGTAAGGCAGGCCGGCTTCTAAATTTAAGTGATAATCATTCATTGATGTCATGCTGAAATGATCCATTCCCTATATAACAAGAAATTTTTTTTACAACTATATAACTTCTCAAAAAATTCTCATACAGCTTTTATAAGATTTTATTATAACCCGGATTCACGTTTTCAGTACATGTATATTATCTGAAATTGGCATGAAACTGCATAAATATGAAGTTGAGGTTTATGGTTGTCTTCCAGAACCTAAAAGTGTTGATTTATAATTACAGCAGTTCTTCTATTACTCAAATTGTTTTCTGTCAATATTCAAAAATGCAAGTGCATTGCCAGATTTGAGTTTCTCCTGTAATGAAAGGAATGAAGATTTTGAGAAAGCATTAACAAATATTACATAGACATGCAAAAGCTAAAGTGTCTACCTTAGAAGGCTTCCCAGTCAAATACTCAATGAATTACTGTTTGTAAATCAATTCATAAATTAATTATGTATTACAATGAACCACATTAAGTGGTTGCTTCTTAGAATCTCAGAACATGCTAATGTTGTGGGGAGAACAGATAGATAAACAGATAAGTATGCCTGAAAAATCTGTCAAATGTAATGTATCTTCATCTTATTCTCAGATTAATCTGATTTTTAATCACTATATGCTACTCCAGATGCAGAGCAGATTATCAATATATCATCGTCAGACATCAGTGTCATTGCAACTGAAATGTTCAGTCCTTCCTATTCTCTCAACTAATGCTGAGAGGTAACTTGGACTGGAAGATAAGGACATATATCAAAAAGGAAAATTGATGCAAAAAATGCATGGATTCTCTAATAGATAAGGTTAAAACTCTATTGAATCATAGTTGATTCCTGGTTACTATTTAAATTTCTCCTCGTGAAAAAGTGCCCACTGTTTCAAACACAGAATCATAATCATTTAATTTTTGCCACGGAAATTTTTAATTACTTTTTTAAAGCTTCCCGACATAACGTGACATACTATTGTCAAATGTTGCTTGATAGTGAAATAGGCTGCATATAAATTAAATAAAAACAAACAAATTTATAGCTTTTGAATTTCCGGATAGTTTTCTACTCAGTTACTCACTACACATTAAAATAATTTAATACATTAATTTCCTACTGTTTTTGAAAATGACAGTGGGTGATGATATAAAAAAAAAGGGTGACTCTTTGCCAGGCTTTGAATGGATGTCTAGTTTATGGTAGGGCAAAACAGATTTACTGTAAATGGCCCAAAGAGGCAAGATATCTTCTACAGTATTCTGGAGGCAGGTATTCTACTTTAAAAATCTTACTGCCATAATACTGAAATAATAACCTTAGAATTTTTATACTGAGCTTCTGTTCTTTCCTATTACGGTTTTTTTTTTATTTGCGGCATAGTATTCCAGGCATTGGGATTGGTGGTGATATTATAGTCTATTTCTCACTTATTCAGAGGACTAGTTATTATGAGTCAAGAGAATATGATGGTCATAACAAATCATGAGAAAGGCAGAGCTAGATGAATCAAACGTTGGAATTAAGATTGCCGGGAGAAATATCAACAACCTAAGATATGCAGATGATACCACTCTAATGGCAGAAAGTGAAGAGGAACTAAAGAGCCTCTTGATGCGGATGAAGAAGGAGAGTGCAAAAGTTGGCTTGAAACTCAACATTAAGAAAACCAAAATCATGGCATCCGGCCCTCTCAATTCCTGGCAAATAGATGGGGAAGAAATGGAGGTAGTGACAGATTTTATTTTCCTGGGCTCCAAGATCACCGCAGATGGGGACTGCAGCCAAGAAATTAAAAGATGCTTGCTCCTGAGGACGAAAGCTATGGCAAATCTAGACAGCATACTAAAAAGCAGAGACATCAACCTGCCAACAAAAGTATGTATAGTCAAGGTCATGGTTTTCCCAGTTGCAATGTATGGATGTGAAAGATGGACCATAAGAAAGGCTGAGCGCCAAAGAATTGAGGCCTTTGAACTATGGTGCTGGAGAAGACTCCTGCGAGTCCCTTGGACTGCAAGGCAATCAAACTGGTCAGTCCTAGAGGAGATCAACCCTGACTGATCTTTAGAAGGCCAGATCCTGAAGTTGAAACTCAAATACTTTGGCCACCTAATGAGAAGGAAGGACTCACTGGAGAAGAGCCTAATGCTGGGAAAGATTGAGGGCAATAGAAGAAGGGGACGACAGAGAAGGAGGTGGCTGGATGGAGTCACTGAAGCAGTAGGCATGAGTTTAAATGGACTCCAGAAGATGGTAGAGGACACGACAGGAAGGCCTGGAGGATCGTTGTCCATGGGGTCGCGATGGGTCGGACACGACTTCGCAATTAACAACAAGTTATTATGAAAAAGTAACATTTTATAGACTCTTCCATTCTTACCTTCAGATTTCCTATAAATATAAATGACCACATATCAGCTTTACTCCCAATGTCTCAAAATATTTCAAAATATGATTCAGTGTGGAAATCAATTTGATCCATTAGTTAAAGTGCTGAAGTAAGAGTGGTAAAACCTGAATTCTAGGTCTGACTTAGATGTGGAAGCCAGCTGGGTAATTTGGGGCTTATTATTCCCTTGCAACCTTGGGAGAAAACAATGAGAAACTACCTCCAAACAAGAAACTAAGAAAAATTATGGAAACTATAGAAACTAGGAATCAAATCTAACTTGAAAGCAAAATTTTGTAAAAATTGTCCCCATTGTAAATTTTTGCAAAGAATTGTCTCATAAACTTTTATTTACATTATTCTTATCCTACTTTTTTTCTTAAAAAGAAGTCTGTCTGACTCAAAGCTTACATTTAAATAATAGATATGTCATATAAGCCTCAAACAAAGGCCAATGAACTACAAATTACAGTACTGACAACCACATTAAACATAAAAGCATACAATCAAAATCAGATAACATACTTTTAATTGCTCATCAAAGTCCTCCATTGATTCAATCAGTTTTCCAGGCTCATGTTCCCCAAGTGGAAATGGATAATCTGTTCCCAATATCACATTCTCCTGAAAATAGAAACAAGTAAGTTGATTGATCTGTTGGCATTTAAGGGATGTTTGTTTTTTATCTTAAGGAATCATTATAAAACTATGAAATTGGATGGATAGATAGATATGCACTTTTTAAATTTTTGTAAGCTTTTCTGCAAACTTACATTAAATTGTCTTGGAAGAGATAAATATCTCTTTCCTTATTAAAGGATTCTCTTTATTTAGAAATAGAATATTCTTTATTAGCCAAATGTGATTGGCCAAATGTGAATTTGTCTCTGGTGCATAAGCTCTCAGTGTAGATACAACAATAAAGTGATATAATCAGAAGATATCAATAGGAGAAAGTAATAGAAAAGATGAGAAAGATATTTCTGATATAATTACATTATTTTCTATACATAAAAGTAAGTAGTTTATGTATTTCAGTAAGAATATCTCACTTTTGTTTACTAAAAGATAAATGATAATGAGGATAATAATTCTGAATAAAATATAGAATCTGGTTTTGAAAGACAGCATACAGTTGATGACCAATATTAATAAAATATTTGAACCAAAGGCTTCTGCGGGAGACAAGACAAAGTCCAACATGGTGGCCATGTTCACATGACTGTAGCCCACCATGTTTTTATACATGCATCACACAAGCAACACACATAAAAAGGGAGTAGGATTTCAATTGCTGACTTTTAACCCCCAAGATACCCCTAAATGAAATTGCATTAAATTGATACTGAAATTGAAAAAAATAATATTGGTTTGCTTTTGGAGCATTTTAGTGAATATCTGTAACATACGAAGGAAAAAAGAAGAATTTGACAAACCTTTATTGATTGAAGACAATCAATTTAACCTTTCATATATATTTTTATCTAGCCATAATGGCTACAAATAGTTTTGATATCTATATTCCATCTACAATAGGAATCCTGTTCATTTGCAAAAGTATATCTTGTCCCGAAAGGAAGAAATTAGTGAAGATGAGTTATATTATGATTGTTATGTCCCGAGCCTTGCAAACGGCTCGGGCGTTTGCAGGCAGTCCCGGGCAGGTGCAAAGCTGCCCGGGACCAGACAGGCTGTCGCCAGCGCCGTGCGCATGCGCGGGTGCTGGCACGGGAAAAGTAACCCATTTACCCGGGAGTTGCCTATATAAGAGGCTGCGAGGCGTTTGGGCGAGGCTGAAGCCATCTTCCTGTAAGCTGAACGCTGAATAAAAGAAACTGAGAACTCCAGCTGCTTCTCGTGTCTGTTTTCCCGCCAAGGACGCAACACTGGCGACGAGGTGGGATGCCTTGCACTACCTGGAAAGGAAGAAGTGTAAGCTTACCCGAGGAGTCCTGAGCGGCGGAAGAGGAACGGCGTCGACTCGGCAGCTACCCGCCAATCCGGTGCGCATTCGGGGGTAGGCTGGCTGATAGACCCGTCTCCTGAAGATCCGAAGATGGCGAAAATCGGAAGGCTTTCGGAATTCGACGTCTCACATCCAGAGCGGTGGGAGTCCTACGTATCCAGAATGGAGAACTACTTCAAGGCAAACCAAGTGAGGGAAGATAGCTTGAAGGCCGCCACCCTGCTTTGCGTTTGCGGCCAAGACGCCTTCGAAATCGCAGAAAATCTTGTAGCACCTGTTCCAGTAGAGTCTGTAAGCTACGCAGACCTGAAGAAGCTGCTGAAAGAGCACTTCCACCCCAAGGTGTCCGTTATCTCATGGCGCCACACCTTCGAGCAGAGGGATCAACGGTCCGGTGAAACAGCCAAGGAATACATCGCCGCGCTACGGAAGGCCGCCAAGCCCTGCGAGTTCAAGGACCTCGAGGAACGACTGAGGGACCGATTCGTGTGCGGGCTAAGGCATCGAGAGCTACAACAGAGACTTTTTGCCAAGGAAGAATTATCCTTCCAAGACGCCTTAAGGGAAGTCACCGCAGAAGAAGCAGCAGGCGGCGCCATCAAAAACATGCGGCCGATCAGAAACAGTGCAGAGGGTGCGTCCGTGCACCAGGAAGACGTCCGACGAAACTCCGAGGAGGATCCGGACGAGGAAGTCGACCGTCTACACCCCGCGAAGGAAGAGAACCAGAAGGGAAGCTCTTCGGCTCTGCTCAAGTGCATCGGCTGTGGAGGTCGCCACAGGAGAACCGACTGCAAGTTCCGCTCCGCTACCTGCCGGGCATGCGGCAAACAAGGGCATATTGCAGCTGTGTGTCTGAGCCGACGAAAGGCACAACCCCAAGAAGAACGCCTGAAAGGTACCAGATTCCCCAGCCAGAATAGGGTAGGGTTTTGCGCTTCGCGAAGAAGCATCTGTAGAACAGGCACACACAAGCCCATGAAGAAAAAGCTGTCACTCAACGTGAAGCTACAAGGGGTTCCATTATCTATGGAACTAGACACAGGGTCTGCCCTGTCCATCATTTCATTGCATACATTTAGGAAGATTTGTTCCAGTAGTGGGTCTAAGGCCAAGTTAAGGCCTTCTGATATTGTATTAACAGATTTTCAGAACTCAAGAGTGTGTGTTAAGGGGGAGGCCACCCTTAACGTGCAATACAAGAGCTTTGAAGGTCCACTAGACTTATTAGTAGTAGGGGGTGAACGAACGAGTCTCATAGGACTCGATTGGTTTGAGGCCCTGGGGATACACGTCACAGGACTCAACAGCTTACAAACACTCGACCTACAGGAAGTCTGCAAAGAATTTGCAGATGTTTTCAGCCCCCAGCTGGGCACATTCAAAGGACCACCTGTGTCCTTAAAGCTAGACCCCACTGTCACTCCCATTAGGATTAAAGCAAGAAGGGTCCCTTTTGCTTTAAAAAGTAAGATTGACACTGAACTAGACAAACTAATCCAACAGGGAATCCTAGAACCTGTTGATTCCAGCCCGTGGGAGACCCCCATTGTCACGCCTCTAAAGGCAAATGGGGACATTCGCATTTGTGCTGATTACAAATGCACACTCAATAAGGCATTGCAGCAACATGCCTATCCTGTTCCTGTGGTCAGTCACATCCTGGCCTCTCTCAAGGGGGGGCGTGTTTTTGCAAAGCTTGACCTAGCTCAAGCATATCAACAGCTGCCTGTTGATGATGATGCTGCTGGGATTCATCCTGCTGAATCCAAACTAACTGCTATTTTACAAGCACCCAGGCCGTAGTTGCGCTCGGCAGAAGACAGTGTTCTTGCACATTTCAACGAGTCTCTTCCTGTGTGCATCGCTTGTGATGCATCCCCCTACGGGGTTGGAGCTGTCCTGAGTCACCTCAGGTCTGATGGAACTCAGGTTCCTATTGCATACTACTCCAGAACACTGTCTTCTGCCGAGCGCAACTACGCTCAGATAGACAGGGAGGCTCTGGCTGTTGTTGCTGGAATTAAAAAATTCCACGATTTTCTATATGGCAGGCATTTCACGGTCTTCACTGACCATAAGCCTCTGCTGGGACTGTTTACCACACGTAAGCAGACTCCCCACATCATTTCCCCTAGAATGCTTAGGTGGTCTATTTTTTTGTCTGCATATGATTTTTCATTACTCCACAAGCCTGGGAAAGAAATGGGCCATGCTGATGGCCTCAGTAGGTTGCCTCTGCCAGTAGTAGAAGCTGACCCCGCGCCAGCTGTCAACATTCTATCAATCCAAGCCTTGCCCGAGCTCCCTCTTAGTGCCAGGGATGTTACCGCTGAAACGGGTACAGATCACACACTTTCACGTGTCCGCTCCTGGGTCCTGTCCGGGTGGCCTGAGCACTGCCCTAGTCCTGAGTTTCAGAGTTTCTGGTCCAAAAGAAACGAACTGTCCCTTTCTCAGGGTTGTCTGCTTTGGGGAAACAGAGTTGTCATTCCCACCTCAATGAGGACTAGGGTCTTAGAATCCCTCCACGAGGGTCATCCTGGCATTGTCGTATGAAGGCTCTTGCACGAAGCCACTTGTGGTGGCCTGCTTTAGATAAAGATATTGAGGCTAAGGTACACGCATGCCACCTGTGCCAACGATCTCGCCCAGAGATGCCCCAAGCTCCTGTGCATAGATGGGAGGAAACACAGTCCCCATGGTCTAGGGTGCACATTGACTACGCTGGGCCCTTTCAGGGCCAGTTCTTCTTGGTCCTTGTTGACAGCCATTCAAAATGGCTTGAGGTTGTGCCTGTCTCATCCACCACCACTGCAAAGACTATTCAGGTACTGAGGGGGATTTTTGCTGCACACGGGCTGCCAGATGTCATCGTGTCCGACAACGGCCCTCAATTCACCTCCTCCGAATTCCAAGCTTTCTTACAGGCAAACCTGATTCGTCATGCCACGTCTGCGCCTTTTCACCCGTCCACCAACGGTATGGCGGAACGCATGGTGCGCATCGCAAAGGACGCCTTGAAGAGACTCACCTACGGGGACTGGCATCACAGGTTGGCTGACTTTCTCCTTTCTTATCGCACCACACCGTCCACTTCTACAGGGAGAAGTCCAGCTGAACTTCGTGGGGGGCGCCAACTTACTACGAGACTTGACCGGTTGCATCCGGACAGACTGCCTTCATCTACCTCACATCCTAGGGCACCTAGACGAACTACTTGTGGGTGCCCCGGTTTGGGCTCGCAATTACGGGCCTGGTCATACATGGGTCCCCGCTTCTGTGTCCAGGATCACAGGTCCTCTCTCCTACGAGGTTGCCCTGGACAACGGTCGTGTCCTGCGTCGGCACATCGACCAACTTCGCTCTAGGCGAGACTTTTCTTGCGGAGGACTCTGGGTTCTTTTCCAGGGGGGGGGAGGGGGACCCTTTGGAGCAAAGGGAAGGGCACGAGTTGCTGCCCATCTCCACTGATGGAGCCACTGACGGCCCATTTCAAGCTTCCGCAAGTGCTCCGAAAAGGAATTCATGGAGCTTACCCACACAACAGGCACTCACGCCTACTCCAGCCAAGGAGTCACCCCGGGGGCATACTCACTTTCCACACACATCACACAACACTCCAGTCACGGAGGATACCCGGGAGCATCCCAACAAATC